GCACTGTATGACATAGAATACTATACTAAGCATAATGATAAACAACAAAAGTAAATAAAAAGGAACATATCAAAATGAGACAGTGTTTGGTATACAAAAGAAGACTAATTTGGATGATGAGATGATAAGAGGATGGATGAAATAAAGTAACAGGGAGGGAAGGGTTAGAAAGAAACAAATATAAATTGGTACAAAAAAGTAAAAAATGCTTCAATTATACTAAGCTAATAAGTACATAACACTGATAAAATGCAAGAGCCAAATTAGGAATTTCTCTACTGAATAAGTATAACGTTCTCATTAGAAATTACTAAGCATGTCAATCAAATTCACCAAGGTTTCTTTCTTTCTTGGGTCTCTTAGATAGCTGTTCTGGATATCAGATAGCTGTCATGTGATAATCTGCTGTCCTCTGATAGGTATACAATAATCAGAGAGCAAAAAATCTTTTCTTCTCTAAAAGCCTATAAGCTGTATACATACCTTAAAGCAACTAACTAGCCAGTTCAAAAAGTTAATAAGATAGTTTCTGAAAATATGGGAAAAGGAAATTTTTTCTTTCTGCCTTACAAATATTGTATGCTCATGATTTATCCCTAGATTAAATTTCTACTTTTAATTATACAGCGTTTCAGAAGAATGGGAATAGCACTGTGAAAGACCAAAATAATAATAATAATAATAAGCTAATAAGCTTATTAAACTAAGCTAACAAGCCAAAACTTTTACACAGGACATTTTTGTTTTAAAATGCTAAGATGTTTTTTGTAAGGGAAGAAAAAAAAATCTTACAAATATTTACATAAATTCTAGGACTAAAACTAATTTTCTATAATTAGTTCACACTACAGGTAAGGGGAAAAAAGGAAGAAAATATAAATTGATAAAGTTTGTATGATACTCTAAAATAGCCATTGATATTTCAACATACTAGACGAGCAACTGTTTGTTTTCTTTTTGTAACCTTTAGAACCAGTGAGTAGTGTTCCAAGTAAGACTGCAAATACAGTCCCCATAAAACAGTTCTAGTAAGAAGAAATTTCCTCCAATTAAACCATACTTTTCACAGGTAGTCAGCTAATACAGTGAAGTCTTATCTTAATAGTAAACTATCATTTAATACATTTGATCATATCACAAAATAAAACAAGAGCTATGGAATACTATCCCATCCATGCAACATGATTTCATTAAATGTTGAATTCTGGTTAACTACCAAGATTAATTTTTAAATGTTACAATTATCCAATAACATTTAAAACAACACTGCTATGTAGAGACATAAGATACTGAATGAAATATGCAAAATGACAACTCAACCATCCCTTGAGGTAATCCTAATCAATCTTTTAACAAATGATATATAATTTCCTTCAATTTTTTTCCTGAAAAAAGTAGCTGTCTACATCTCAATTCCTTCTTCATTCCCACTTCAGCCCAGATCTATACTATGGCAAAAAACTTCTAAGGAAAACTGAAGAATTAAAAAATGTATTTCAAGTTTTAGGTAGATACTATAATAAGAAAGAGTTTTAAACTCTGAGTTTAGAACTGAAAGGAAAAGTTGTAAGTACGAAGAAAAAGTGCAAATACAGAAGTTAATCTATACTTTTTAGGTTAAATGTAATTTGTGCAGCAAAAGCAAACATCTGGGAATGGTATACAAAACTGTACCAAGATACACTGTATGACTTATCATAACCAAATCCAAGTTGCTTCTACTGATGATAAAAACAGTAACAGCAACAACAAGTAGGGAGAACTGGTATAGATATGTTAAACTGTTTTAGATCAAACACTAATATACTGCCAGGGAAACGAAAGATGTGAAAGGAATCTTAAGAGATCATCTAGTCCAACCCTTTTCATTTTACAGACAAGGAAACAACCCTGGATAAGTTAAGAGACTTGTCTAAGGCCAGAAAATTAGTTACAGAGCTTGGGACCAAAAGCTAAATCTCTTAACACTTGTCCAGTACTCTACACTCACTCATCATCTGAATATAAAAAATTAATGGGATGGACTAGATTAATGGTTCTTGACATTTCTATTCTTACACACTGATAGAAACCAAAAGGCTAACTTACTCGTGAAATAGACATTTAATATTCCAAAATGTTAACAGCTTACTAATTGCTACGGAAATTCCACTAAGACCATGTGTATATTCCTCCATCACTATTTGTAACAAACCCGACTGGTACAATACTTAACAGAATCAACTGTTTACTAAGACAGTCCCAAATAATTGAGAAGACCTTCAAGAAAGATTTCTGGAAAATTGATAAGAATTAACAAGGGAGGTAATTGTCACTCCATTATTGGAGATTTAAATATGCATTCATTCATTAATTCATCCCACAAACAACTGAATGTTCACTATGAGCCAGGTTTTATGATAATCACTAGAGATAAAGATGAATAAGACATGGTCCCCTTCTTAGAGGAGCTTGTAATCTAGTGGGGAAGACAGACATATAAACCAGATAAACTATATTACAACATAAGTACTATAACAGAGATATGAACAAAGTGCTGTATTAAAAGGGATGGTTAAGGTATGAACTGGCTAATGACCAAAAAGACTAGTAATTTTGCGTAATTTACTGCAAACACAATCTTCATGCCCGACCAATAATTAGGAAGGAGGTAGCAACATAGTTTTTTAAAAAGCTGGCACTGAAATCAGAGTGCCTGCATTCAAATCTAGTCCTTCTATTTACTAGCTATCACTTTGGGCAAGTCATTCCATCTCTATTAGCCTAAGTTTCCTTATCTGTAAAATGGATATCTTAAGTTTTAAATGAGAACACATGAAAAGTACATATAGAGTACTAGTATTTTTTTTATAAACATGCTCATTAATTTTAAAAATCCAATAGCAATTTAATACTAAATAATATTTACAAATTAAAACCATATTAATGATAATAAAAATATAATTATGAACCTGATAATGTTGCTAATATTTAATCCCCATACTTTAGGACCCGATCAAAACATACTTGCGTTCTGATTCATTCAAAGCAACATGGTGTAAAACATTTTAATTTTAGGTTATGACAGAATTTAAGAATAGGGAAAGTGATTAGCTATTTATGGATTTAAATAATTTCAGTTATAAGTGAATTTTACAATAATTACACAATATCACACTAAAATTTGCTAATCAAATTATAAAGCCAAAAATCAGTATGGAGATTTAACTGGCCTTTGAAAGATTTTCTTTCTTTATAATACCTGTTTGGTGTAAAGAGAAGAAACGTGAGCCTCTGCCAATTTGGCATCTTTCACGACTACTAAAAAGAAAAGAAAACAAACTTACCTAATGAATCAGAATAGCACATAGTCAACATACAAGAGACTATACATAAAAATATATCACAGCTCTAAGTATAGTAGAGAAGTTGAGTAAAGTCACTATTTTGACAAAAGAAATCTGACTGTGAAATTTTAAATATAAAGGTGTGCATCAACTGCAAGCCAAAACGTTCCTATGAAACAGAACTACCATTGGGAGTATATATACTACTTTAAGTGGAGGAAGAAAAGAAAAAGAGGAACAGCATCCATGAGCTACTCCACTAGCAAAAGACTATGGTGGTGAAACTACAATTTGTGACTGTGAGGACCCCAGCATGGGAAGAAAAGTTTTTTTGTGTGTGATTTTCAATATAATCACTGTAATCTCAGAAGGGGCAGAAATACTTGCAACCAAAAGGATAAATTTAAAAGATAAATATGTAATCTCCCACCCTCCATTCTACAAAGAACGCATTTATTTCCTGGAAACTGCTGTATCAACTTTCAAAGATCATGTTGTCAGAGAAGTCCACTTAAAAATCACAATATTGTTGCAAATGTCAAAGATTTTTTTTTTATAGAAGTATAGGAAATGCACACTTAAAATATCAGACTGGAACACTTACCAAACAGTGCTTTCCTAAAGTAGTATCTATAGTACATTTCTTTATTCATACATCTTCAAATGGTCAAGTTTTCTTTCATACATCCAAAATGTAATGTGATGTTTTCTTATTCACCAAATGTTATCTCTACTTGAAGTCTGGTTCCAAACTAATCAGCCTGCTTTTAAATTTTAAGACATCTGTTGAAAGTTTATAGGATCAAACCAAACTGAAGTGGTATAAATTTTAAACAATGGATTGTACATTATTGTAAAGGTACCAGTAACCATTATTAAGAATAAGTTAGTGATTATAGCTCCTTTTGTGATAACTGGGGAGAAGGGTAGATCACCATCTGGAATGGTCTATTTAATTCTTTTTCTTTTCTTGTCTTTTTTTTTCTTTTTTTTTTTTTAAATCAAGGAACATTGTCTTTTTTTTGTCATTGCTTTTTTCTTTTCTTTTCTTTTCAAGAGACCATTCCACTTTATTTTTTAACATCTGAATGCATAAGGACTCAAATGCAAAGCAGTCATACACCGTTATCATTAAAACCCATATGGTAAAATACATACACAAGTCCAACAAAAGGCTAATACATAGTAAAGCCTAAGCATACTACTATGTAATATTATGAATACATAACTTGGAGACTTTAGTTAAGAGTACTATGTTATCTATTCATTTTTTGAAAACATTCATTAAGATTTTAAATGCAAATTCATTCCTTATTTGGAGTAAAACAAAATTCTCTAAGTTATAACAAGTATTGGTCATTAAGTCTTCAGACCGATTCATTAAATTACAAAGAACCCAAAGAATTCTGTAATGTTCAGTAAGTATGTAATAAAAACATTGCATATGTTTCTAGTGTGATGTCTTTACCAATTGTTTACTGAAATAAAATGCAAACATCAATCTTTCAAAATACAGGATTCAGAAGGTAGTTTTCTTCTCTTTTGTCTATTTGTGAAATCCATCTTCATCACATTTTACCAAAAATTGTTTTTACAAATATGTAAAAGTACATTAGATAATACTAATGAAACACAGGTAGAGTTCTATCATATGCAGATCAATGATCAGTCAAATCATCTTCTCCAAGAACGAGATTCATTGTCCTCTTCTTCTTCATCATCATCTTGAAGTAATGAATCATCCACCAAAGACTCTTCCTGAAACTTTAGGTTAAAATGCATTTAGGAATTTACCCAAAAAAAAAAAAAAGAAAAGAAAAAAGGTGACACTTTTAAATACTGATTACTCTCAACAGAGTCGAATACAAAAGGTATTTCTATAGCTAGAACAGTCAAAAAAAAAAAGCAATCTTCATCCGCCCAAAGGTTTCTCAATACTATCTATTCTATTGCTTATATCAAACAGACACTAAAAAAAAAAAATCAAAGTAATAAGCCTTTGTACATGCCATTTCTCCTGCCTCTCTTTATCAAATTATGCCATCTTCTACACCTACAAAACATTGCTGCACACCCCCTTTTTTTTTTTTAAAGAAAACATCAGTAATTCTTCTCTGATACTAAATCAACCAGTAACTTGAATAAAGTTTATCAATATTTATATTTCTCTTCTGCTGTATGTAACAAACATTTTCTTTTACAGCATTCTTCTCTTTTCCCCATTCCCTTCATAAAAGCTTCTCAGACTACTTTTCAAACTTTTCAAAATACCTAATACCAGGAGCTCTCCTGCTTTTCTCCCCATTCAATTCAAACTCATGGAAGGACAAAGGTATAATCTAAAATATAAAATGACAAATCATGTATATGAGTTTCAAAATACACATTTTATTCTTGCATTTGACTATGGACATGTATAACAGTCTCAAATGCTCTTCAAACAAAATGAAGTGCCATAATGAAAATCTAATCAAGGTAAAACATGGAACCATTTAGTTTTCCCACCTTACCTTTATTCCCTAACTTCCTCAATTTTTTTTCCTACAGCTTATTTCATGATCAAACAAAACAGAGTTGCTTATTTTTAGATTTTTGGTTTCAAAGGGCTCTCCCACTTCAGTGGTCTTTACGCTCCCCGCTCTCAGCCATAAGACTAACTGGTGTTATGCAAGAAAAAATATACTATTCCATACCTCTATCTCTGCCAATTATAATGCCTCTCTAACTATTCCTAGTCCAAGTTCTTGGTTATGAAAAGCATTTTTTTATCACTTGGAGTTCAGCTACACTGCTACCACCTCCTTCAAGATTCTTCGGGAAAGAAAGAATCATTCCTTCCTCTGGGTACCCACAGCATATTGTTCAAATCTTTATTCACCATATCATTCTGCCTTTTATTATAATTAGCTGCTTGTGTCTATCACCGCCTTCTTTTCCAGATTGTATTGCTCCTTGTTGATAGGGACCGTGTCTTATTCATTTTTCTGCCTATCGTAGTATCTACCATATAGCAGGCATTCATTCTAATGAACTAAAATGATATGAGTTAAAATAAAACCTGAAATGTTGATAAAGTAATTAAGTAAAATATATACTCTAAAAGTTAGAATATCACAAGACTTCCTGTGGATAAAAATCTAATGAGTAATTATTGTCTTCTAAGAGTAAATGAAAATTGAGTATATATATGATTTTCATATATTCTTTTTGGATTAGCAATCCACAGTTCTCATTAATACATAAAATTTAGTTATCTGCATTTTATCTGCTATCCCCTGCCTGGAAGGTAGCTCAGGAATAAAAGCTTTATGTTAAAATCACAGCCATAGATCACATTTTATATAAAAATGTAAACATTTAAGGTTAAAAACAAATGGGAAAAAAAAAAAACATACTTCCTCTTCATCAGGTTCAACTTCTTCTGTTTCAACAGCTGAAATATTAGTTATTGGCTTATTCCATGCCAGCTTTAGATCCTGCCCTTTGAAACGAGCTCCATGAACTGCAGCCTAAAACAATGAAAAACATTGGAATACAGAACATTAATAATTTGTGAAGAAAACAATGAAATGTTATAGTACCTAACATTAAATACAAGTGAAGACAGTTGTCTATTTTTGCTGTGTGGTTTATTTCTCTATTTACTATTTATTATTGCAGTTTATAATTTACTTTATATTGTTATTTATTTCTAAAGTCAGCCTAGTCATTTGAGTAGAGCTATTTCAGTACTGGCCAATATCTGACTAGAAGAACTATGTCTCCAAGTCTACAGTAAAATGATAACTGCTACTCAAGGCAATAATTGCAAAGCACTTCAAGATTCTGGTTTTAGATTTTAATTCTTATTAATTCACAAATGACTCATACAGTAACTAGAAACTAGAAGCCTCTAATAAATTTAAGGATAATTTTGTACCTGTATTTATATTTAAATTACATCAAATAATCACAAATACCATAAAATGCATGATGTATCACTAATACAAAATACAAATATCTCAATGAAGAAAAAAATTGAGCTTTTCTATTGAAAACTAAAGAACTTCCCTACAAAGCTTTCAGAATTGCATATAATAAAAACTGAGTAAGCAGTCAAGCCTAAGTACTTGCTACATTAAATGACTGGTTCAGAAAGAGTGCTTTCAAACTAAAGTAATGTGAACCAATATAAATCAATGTTAGCAACATACCAAAATAACTCATAGTCACCAAAGATTTACAGCACACCTCAAAGTACAGCATAATGTGAAATGTAGAAACAATTACATGCTTAATGACATCTGACCACGAGTAGTACGATATAAAGTCCACAGGTAAAAATTTTAAATCTACACATACAAGTTTATGGTTAATTTAAAAGATTTCATGCCTATTAAAATGTAGCTCAGAAATTTTTAGTCCATGACCCCATCATGTCATATAACTAAAGAAATTTTAAGTACTTATATATAATATTTAAGTCCAGAAACAAACTGTAATTTTTTGAGGCTATAAATATTACATAAAAATGTATTCCTGTAAGGAATTCCAACTATGTCATACAAAATGTCTACTCATAAAATTCATGTTTTCATCCAGCTAAAGAAGGCAAAAAATGTTAGTGATGTCATCTATAGTAAGTTCTTCAAAAATTTCTTATGATCTAATTTTGCACATCTCTATATTCAATACTTACTTCAAATTCATAAGGTGAATCTACAACTCTCTAAAGTTTTAGTTTTAAAATTATTTACTGGGTGCTGTCATCCAGGCTTTGTTGGTTCAATTTACCCGTTATGCGTATGCATTAGTCTCTCAGTTGTGTCTGAGACCCCACGGACTGTAGCCCTCCAGGCTCCTCTGTCGATGGGATTCTCCAGGCAAGAATACTGGAGTGGGTTGCCATTCCCTACTCAAAATTTACACATTATAAGGTAGAGTAAAATTAGCATAAATCTAAGTAGCCTGGGATTTTCGGAATGCTAAGTGAGCTCTGGTTTCAGCTTCAAGGCATCAGTTGTGGGAGCCCCTAACAAAAGTCACCTGACCTTTGAAGCTTTGAAGTCAGGCAATGACTTTTCTCTAGCTATGAATATCCTAGATGGCATTTTCTTTCAATATAAGGCTCTTTCATCTACACTGAATATCTGTTTACAGTGGCCATCTTCATTAATTATTTTAGCAATAACTCACAGCAGCTTCTGTATTGGCACTTGCATTTTTATATTATGGAGATAGATTCTTTCCTTAAACCTCATGAACCAATCCCTGCTGGCTTCAAACTTTTCCTCTGAAGCTTCCTCATCTCTCTCAGCCCTCACAATATTGAAAAAAGACAGGGCATTGCTCTGGATTAGACATGACTGAGCGACTTCACTTTCTTTCTTTACGAGAATGTTGTGGCCGGATTGATATTCTCTCCAGACCACTAAACCTTTCTGCATATCAACGATAAGGCCTGTTTCACTTTCTTTTCATTCGTATGTTTACTAGAGTAGCACTTTCAATTTCCTTCAGGAACTTTTCCTTTGTGTTCACACCTTGAATAACTGGCACAGGAGGCCTGGTTTTTGTCCTAGCTCAGCTTCTGATATACCTTCCTCACTAAGCCTAATCATTTCTAGCTTTTGACTTAAAGTGAGCGACATGAGACCCTTCCTTTCACTTGCATGCTTAGAGGCCACTGTAGGGTTATCAACCGGCCTCATCCCAAGGTTGTTTTGTCTCAGGGAACAAGGAGGCCCGAGGAGAGGGAGAGACGCAGAATGGCTGCTTGACAGGGCACTCAGAACACACATTTATTAACCAAATCTGCCATCTTATATGGGCACAGTTTATGGTGCCACCAAATAACCACCATTTGTTTTGGTGTCACCAGAACAAATATAATAATAATAATGAGAAAGTTTGGAATATTGCAGAAATTACCAAACTGTGATAGAGACATACAGTGAGCAAATGCTGTTGGGAAATGGCAGCGACAGATCAGCATAAAGTGCTGCCACAAACCTTCAATCTGTCAAACAAACAATAATATCTGCAAACTGCAATAAAGTAGAGCACAATAAAACAGGGCATACCTGTATATGTGTGTGTATAAAAACCACACAGTACAGAATTATATTGGAAATATCAGGAGCCTTCAATTTATTTTCTTCATACGTGTGTATATATGTGCTATACATGTATATATATATATATGTGCACATCTGTATATGGATGCATTTTTCCCCCCACTCCCAGCTCTGACCTCTGAAAAAAATTGTTACAGTTAACATACTCAGTAGTAATGAGCATGCTTAGTACTCAGACTATGGTCTTTAAATACCTTTCCCAGTAATAAGAACCAGAGCTCCTTAGAGAAATGGCCAGTTCCTGGTCTGGAAGAGAAAATGTGTAAGATGAACCTAGAATACCTTTTCATACCAGAAAGAAAGAAAATATCATAACCCACTAGACTCCTGTCAAAACAACTCACAAAAAACCTATATAGCAGCCACTAGCCAAAGACAGGACACATCAGTAACTGAGAACAATGGATCAATACCCATGAAATGTTTAAATCTATGAATTTATAATTATATAATACCAATCTAGCTAAATCAAAATATGCACTTATTATGGATCCCTAAAGGAAGTAAGTAAAATATTTATAAGAAAACCAGGGAAATGTAAACTCTGACTGGGTATTTAATAATATTTAAGGAATAATAATCATTTTTAGGTACAATAATAGTATTGTTTTATTTTATTTGGCCTCTAACATGAAGAGAGACACACTGGAAGGTTTACAGCTGAAATGATATGACTGGGAATGGCTCCAAAACAAGGAGGTAGAGTGTTGTAGTGGGTAGAATATAGACAAAAAAAGATTGGCCATAAGTGGATAATTACTGAAGCTCAATGAGGAACATGTGGAGGTTCATTTTACAATTTTCTCTAATTTCTATGCTTTGAAGTATAAATTAAAAGCCTGTTTAAGCACTGAAGCATTTTATTCATACGCTTGCTCTAGACATTTGCCTGTTGAGTCTTACACAGCATCATTCAAAGTTTGCACCAAATTAGAAGTAAGGCGAGCAGGCAAACATATGACAGAAGGGGAAGAAAGAAAAAGGCCTGAAGATCTGCCAAATGAAGGAAGAAAAAAAGTATGAAAAGTAGTTATGAGGTAGGCTCCGTATCTTACATAGAAAATGATTCTAGAAACAACATTTGGAAAAGGCTGGAATAAGCAAGGAGTGTTTGCCTTTTGCCTTTGCAAGTTACTTAGATTATAAATCTAAACTGAACATACAAAATGGAGCTCTTCACAAACTTAATGACAAGAAAATCCTTTGTTAAAGCTCTTATAAGACCAATGTTCTGCAAAAACACTGTGGGGAAAACGGACCTAAGGTCAGAAGAGCTAAAGCTACAATCCCAGTATATCTTTCTTTTTTAGTAACCATAATGGTAAAACTATTTATAAAATAAAGTTAAAACCAAGTTTATTAAAGTTTGTAATAACCACAGTATATAATATTTAGGCAGGAGTTACATTAAAGGACCACCAAAACAAAACTCAAAACATGTAAAATCTGATTTTCAGAATTTATAGAGAAAGACTTCTATTTCTTTAGCTTTAAGTTCAAGTTACATGGCCACTTTCTCACAAGTTTCAGACTTAGATTAATAATTCTCATAGCAGTGTTCATCATGTAGCAATACTTAACTATTAACTAAATCAGTAAGAACACACAGACTGTTAAGAACACGATTTGATTTCTCTTGACTGAATCCACTTATATACTTAGTTCTTGCCACAGATTTACTATTTATTCAGTTAGCCCCATCAATTTCTGACTTGATGTTGAACTATCCTCTATGAATCCAATTTTGTGTTTCTATCTTCAGGCCTAAAGAATTAGAGTTTTGAAATCACTTCTTCTATCTTGTTTCTATTCAGCTTCATTGAATTAACAATCAATTCTCATTCACACACAGACACACACACAAATATTAATAATAGCTAACACTAAGATGGTTTGGGTTTCCCAGGTAGCGAACCGGCGCCTCTGCATTGCAGGCGGATTCTTTACCAACTGAGCTATAAGGGAAATCCACAGTGGTAAAGAATCCACCTGCCAATACAAGAGACATGGGTTCAATCCCTGGGCCTGGAAGATTCCCTAGAGAAAGGAATGGCAACCCACTCCAATATTCTTTTCTGGAGAATCCCATGGACAGAGGAGCCTGGCTGGCTACAATTCACAGGATCGCAAAGAGTCAGACATGACTGAAGCAATGTAGCATGCACGCAAGATGATTTATGTTCCAAGCACCATGTTCTAAGTATACTTTATAAGTTTTGAATCCTCACAAATACTGGGAGTTGAGGCATGGGTGTCAAAACCCACCAGTAGAACAAGAGTCTCTTTCCTTTTGCTATAAAAAGCTACATACCTCTTTTGAGTTTGAGACTGTCGAGTTTCATCTTTGGGACTGACTCTTATAAAACAGGAACTTAACTATCCTATTCTAAAACCAGATCCTGGTTGCTTACAAAAGTATAGGAACAATTCAGAATAGGAAAACTAACTTTCTAACCAGTCATGGGAAGAGGTCACTTTTTTTCTGTCCTCTTTGGGTACTTATCCATCTTTAGTACATTGGGGGTGGTGACAGACAAATTGAAGAACAGAAAATAAAGCAACAGGATAATCGTCTAATTAACCAGAGTCAAACCTTAACCATCTTATCCTAAAGTTAAAATGATTGTTAACTTAACCTAAAGTTAAAATACTTCAATCTCTTTTCTGAGGAAAATTTCTTACTTTTCAGTCATATCTGAATGTCTTTGATTATCTTATTCCTTGTACTTTCACTGTGAAATATTATGCATCTACTGACTTAAGAAAATAGACACATAATCATCTAATACAATGGTTCAGAAATTATGAACAATGAAGTATTTGGAAATAAACATTAAGAAAGGTGGACAAATTTCTTTTCCTGGGAAAGCCTATCCTTTGACTTGAGGTCTATCCGCTCACATATTGGCATTATATTTTTCTTTATTATATATAATGATAGTGATGAGAGGCCTGGAGTGCTGCAGTCCATGGGGTCGCAGAGTCGGACACGATTGAGCAACTGAACTGAACTGAACTGAGTGATGGGACAAGTAATTTTTTGTACTTTTTAAGCATTCTTCTTTGAAAAAATTAAATATTGGCAACTCAATGTCAAACACACTAATCTTTAAAGTGCTCAACCTAACTCACATCAGATCCAAGTTAACCAAAGTTGTTCTGTCACTTATTCAATCTTCACATAATTATTGTTAAAATTTCTCTTTACACATTAATCCCTGGTCTTTAAACTGACTGCTATTTGCTTGGAAAATACATACACAGTATAAAAATATATATTTAAAAAGTTTACACCTGAGAGAGAAAAAGCAAAACCCAAGAAAGATGGTGTATGTCAACAGATCCTACCTATTAAAAGCAAAACATCCAAAAATTACATAAGAGGCAGAAAGTTTTTTTTTCCCACCTCAGTCATGTAAATAAACAGGGAGAAGTAACAATACACATTGCCAGGGAGAAACATCAATAACCTCAGATATGCAGATGACACCAACCAACCTTATGGCAGAAAGTAAAGAGGAACTAAAGAGCCTCTTGATGAAATTGAAAGAACAGAGTGAAAAAGTTGGCTTAAAGCTCAACATTCAGAAAACTAAGATCATGGCATCTGGAACCATCACTTCATGGCAGATAGATGAGGAAACAGTGGGTGGCTTTATTTTTCTGGGCTCCAAAATCACTGCAGATGGTGATTGCAGCCATGAAATTAAAAGACACTTACTCCTTGGAAGGAAAGTTATGACCAACCTAGACAGCATATTAAAAGGCAGAGACATTATTTTGCCAACAAAGGTCCTTCTAGTCGAGGTTATGGTTTTTCCAGTGGTCACGTATGGATGTGAGAGTTGGACTATAAAGAAAGCTGAGCACCAAAGAATTGCTGCTTTTGAACTGTGGTGTTGGAGAGGACTCTTGAGAGTCCCCTGGACTGCAAGGAGATCCAACCAGTCTGTCCTAAAGGAGATCAGTCCTGGGTGTTCATTGGAAGGACTGATGTTGAAGCTGAAACTCCAATATTTTGGCCACCTCATGCGAAGAGCTGACTCACTGGAAAAGACCCTGGTGCTGGGTAAGACTGAGGGCAGGAGGAGAAGGGGATGACAGAGGATGAGATGGTTGGATGGCATCATCGACTCGATGGACATGGGTTTGGGTGGACTCCAGGAGTTGGTGATGGACAGCGAGGCCTGGCGTGCTGCAGTTCATGGGGACAAAACTGAGCGACTGAACTGAAGTAGTTACTACATTCACAAATTTGGTAAATACTATAACCAACTGAATGTAACTACCATTGTTTAATAACATGACTATTTTCCAGAAAATAAATAGAACATAAAAGATGGTACTCAAGCTACCTATTCAACATTACCTTGAAAATTGTCACTGAGGCATCATTTAAAGGAAGCTCATTCTTAACTTACACTTCTACAATACCTCTGAGAGAAAACTAGATCAAAACTCTTTTTCAACATAACATATATACATACAAGCTTATAAGAAAGTTTTAAACTTTAATCAATTATAAACTAGCTTTTATTTTTAGAAAAGACCTTTAAATAAAAAGATTTCTTAAAACTTAACAAAACTCTAGGATGAGAAATTCCTATAAAACTATCCACTACCCACCAATCTAATTCTGAAACTACATTATTCCAGGGCCCAGTTAACACTTCTCTGAGACTTCTCAGATACACAGCCTTTATATTATAGACTACAATGCCCCAAGAACAACTCCTACCAGGGAAATCCCCAGCAATGCACTGCCAGGGGATATTTACTAGATGAGGGTAAATCAACTTAGAAGATTTTCAAAACTTATTTAGACTGCAATCATCTCAAAACTTTTGAAAACCATCCTACTCTTCCATTCCCCATTCATATTAGGTTAACTGTTTCTAAGCACTTTTCCCAAATCAAAAGGGTACATCTACTTCTCTACAATCCTGAACAAAGAATACACAGGGTTAAAAACGTTACTATGAATCCCCTACACCTAGTACTCATTTTTTCTTTTTTTAACCTTTTAAATCCAGAAGAAAGACAAGGTTGCAAATACTTCTGGTTATTTTTTAGAAAGATAAGTCAAGATACACATTTGAAGACAACTAGACTGAAAGGACTCTAAAGGCTAGCACTATATATTCATGTCTTGGTAAAAAGCTACAGAGGCCTAGACGAAGATATGCTGAGCTAGGGACACTGTAGGGTTCAGCCAACTGAGTCTATAAAGCCTCAGATGAGGGATGATTAAGAAAAGCAGCCATCAGGATTATTATTTCTCCTTCTACCTTACACTTCACCACTCCTTCTGCCAAAGCAGACTTGTTTTGGGCCAGCTGAGAAAGGGAGAAAGTGAAGGGGCACTACTGGTGTTAAAAGGAATGGAAGAATTCCTGATGTCTCAAGACAGTACAACTTGACATTCAAGTTGGTGACTAGCTATTCTAACAATTCTATGTTATATATTAAAACTGCCTAACTGCTTTAGGACATTCTTTGTGGCCATGAATTCCACTTCATATGTCCTATGTCTTGTCAAAGTGTAGTTATTAAGTAAAAAAAAAAAAAAATCACTTATATTAACATTTAAATCTGAATTTCAATAAATTAGATTATTTGTAATACTTACTGCTTCAGCTTCTGCTCGTGTCTTGAATGTAATTACTGCATGAAGTGAAGAGTCATCAATCTGACAATCTTCAATTTCACCATATTGCTTTAAATTAAAAAAAAGTATTTCCTCCAAATAAATATTTTGAAACATCCAAAATCCTAATGGTTTTAAAATATTAAAATGCCAACAAATATAAGCCAGAATACATAACAATTCAGGGTGATAAGAAAAAAACTATGAGTAATTCATTTTAGTACTTGATATTATAAGATAAAGGGTGGTTTTATTTTCAAATATTATTCTACAATTCTATACTTTCTAGAATTAGAGAAACTTGACTGAACTATTCTTTATTTTTTTAACTTTTACTGGAGTATAGTTGCTTTACAATGTTGTATTAGTTTCTACTATACAGCAAAGTCAATCAGCTGTGAGTATACCTATATCCATCCCTTCAATTGAACTGTTCTTTAAATAATGGAAACATTGGTCAAAGACTGAGTTTCCTTATTGCCATTTCTTTTATGCTCATTATTCTAATTCCAGAAAATGCTAAATCCTTTCTAAAGCAGATCATTATCCTCAGAAAATTTGAGTTTTTTTGATTACCAATTTAAAGCTGGGGGGCAGGGGAGGAAGATTCAGAGAATTTACATAATTTTTCCAAAGTAACTAAGTTAATTACCAGGATGAGAGTCCAGGTCTTTCAATTCAGAAGTTTATCTGACTGCTGTTTTCTCTCACTCTACACTCCTCTAGAACACATTCTTTGAGGACACTTACAAGCTAAACAAATTATGCTTGCTTTGGGTGTGCTGGATTTTATTTTTTCCATGTACAGGAAGATCTTTCTGCAAATAGCAGAAAATAGCACCTTTATCACATAAAACTTCAGTCCCTTATATATCATTACTAATATTGTCCTTCTGTCTTACCCTCAAATAAAATTGAAACCACAATCTCATTAAATGCACACACTACACAAAGAAAAACTCTGTATGGCACAGTAAAGAAAATGGACCACAGAATCAGTCAGATCCCAGCTCTGTTAGTGTTAGCTGTGGAATACTTGAACAAGTTCCTTAATCTCTTCATGTTTCATTTTCCTAACCTCTACAATAAGCACAATAAAAGTACCTACCTCAGAGAGGTGTCAAAATAACTTATAATATGGTGAGTTATATAAAGCATTCAGAATAAAACCAGCCACAAAATAAGTGCTCTATAAGTTTTAGATGTAATGTTTTATTACTATACTAGTTCCAGCGTATGAATTAAAGAAAGCATTTCATTAATCACAATTTGTTACAATGTTTAGTACTATAGGTTTTTTCTGATACCTGTCATGTTCAAATCACAGGTTGAGATAGAGAAGCTATCTTATTTAAAAACTGGCAATTTTTAAATGTGCATTACCACTACTAACTGAGTAGAATTCGAATCTCCAAACTCATGCAAGACTGAATATCCATTTAGAGGCTCTGAGTATTTCTAAACTTTTCTAAGCTTCCCTCATAGCTTAGTTGGTAAAGAACCCACCTGTAATGCAGGAAACCCTAGTTCAATTCCTGGGTCAGGAAGATCCGCTCGAGAAGGGATAGGCTACCCATTCCAGTATTCTGGGGCTTCCCTTGTGACTCAGCTGGTAAAGAATCTGCCTGCAATGTGGGAGACCTGGGTTCTATCCCTGGGTTGAGAAGATCCCTTAGAGAAGGGAAAGGCTACCCACTTCAGTATTCTGGTCTGGAGAATTCCATGGACTATACAGTCCATGGGGTCGCAAAGAGTCCGACATGACTGAGCGACTTTCACTTTCTTTCACTTTAATGTTTCTAAAACCAAAACCGTTTTAGTCTTACCAAAACACGTTCCTAAACTCACCTTGTCTGTCTGGATTATTTTAGCCTATTCTTTAATAATTTCCTGATTAGCTATATAACTATAACTATATGTAATACACTTAAGTTTTTCTGGATCTTCTTCCCCTTGGGAAGGTACAGAACAGGGTGTATAGTAGTGAAGTATTGGGCTACAGTATCTCCAAGCTAGAAAACTTTCTGATTCATTTCTGTCTCCCTTTAAAGTTATAAAGCATAAGATATTCCAGACCCATCACCATTAAATATTAATCATCTTAGTTATTTCTTAAACACACACCATTTCTTTCAATATCTCTTGATGTCCTAAAAATCTATAGTTTCACATCTGTAACTACAGTTAACAGCCTGGAATATAACTGTGAAACATTTAAACCTGAACATTCAAAAGGTTCAACTACTGGTGTACCTATCTACAAGCTTACCTATCCTTCAAGACCCAAGTTCCAGTTTTTCTACCTCATGAAACTTTACTCATTTACCATTATATGCCTGTGTGAAAAAAAAAAGTTCTCTAAGCTATTGAAGCAGTTATAGTTTTTAATAAATTGAACTTGATAATAAATTGCTTGTAGTTTTCTTTAACTGGTTGGTGTTAAAACATTATATGTAGAATCCTTGAGGGTAAAGAACTGGTTATTTACTTATATACTTTATCTAAAGCAATTACTCTAATGCTGCAGGCAAGACTGATGCTTAATAACTAACCTTTGTGATACCACTAAAAATCACATAAGTTAAAAAGGGCTTTAGGCAGACATAATCTCCATTCTGCACATAAGCCCAACAGATTCCAGGATATCCATGTAAAATAATGGATTAGCAGGGACTGGATTCTTATTCTCCTTCCTCATACATCACTCTGTTACCATTAGACTGACTCTAATTATACCCTGGTATCAACTAAGGCAAATTCAAGATCATATTCCAAAATTCTGTCTTGTTTCATTTCTAGGTTAACTAGATCAAGAATATAGTATTAACGAATAAAATTCCATCTTACTTTTAAAAAATCTGGATGGCCCAGGCAATATGTTCAATTTTTCCTAAAAGCAAGTATCAAATGAAACTAAACTCTAGGACTTCCCTCTCTGAATCAATAAGTTTAAATCATTCCTGTCATAATATCTGAAGGCCTACTAAGTGAAAGAAAAGTAACATTTCTTTCAGACAATGATTAAACAAAAAACTCCTACAATCTGTTTCTTAAATAAAGATTATTATAGATTAATCAAACACTTTGGTGAGATTAATGGGTTTAAATTATTCATTTCATTTTCATATTTTCTCCTTTAACATCCATTATCCCCAACAATGTATCAGTATTTGTTTCGGTGGACAATAAGAAAGTACCGCAAAGTGAGGAAGAAGATCTTCTCTATCACTCTCTGTAAATGCAGAAATCTCCAATGCCCTGGGACGGTGATCCACCACAGCATGACCAGGCACACCTCGACCTCGGCCTCGACCCCTGCCTCGGCCGTGAGCTGCACCTCGACCTCTTGAATGAACTCCTCTACCACGACCAGATGAAAGAATCCCTCGCTTTGCAGCCTAGAAGAGATTAGACAAACAGGTTAAACATCACCATTACGAACACAAGTCAAGTGTTTTACTCAGATGAGTCACACAATCTGACATCAGTCATAGAACTGAATATCATATTCAAAGAATGCCCTACAAAACCAGATCTGAAAGAGACACGTGTACCCCAATGTTCATCGCAGCACTGTTTATAATAGCCAGGACATGGAAGCAACCTAGATGCCCATCAGCAGACGAATGGATGAGGAAGCTGTGGTACATATACACCATGGAATATTACTCAGCCATTAAAAAGAATTCATTTGAATCAGTTCTAATGAGATGGATGAAACTGGAGCCCATTATACAGAGCGAAGTAAGCCAGAAAGATAAAGACCATTACAGTATACTAACACATATATATGGAATTTAGAAAGATGGTAACGATAACCCTATGTGCAAAACAGAAAAAGAGACTCCTATGTACAGAACAGACTTGTGGACTCTGGGAGAAGGCGAAGGTGGGATGTTTCAAGAGAACAGCATTGAAACACGTATATTATCTAGGGTGAAACAGTTCACCAGCCCAGGTTGGGTGCATGAGACAAGTGCTCGGGCCTGGTGCACTGGGAAGACCCAGAGGGATTGGGTGGAGAGGGAGGTGGGAGGGGGGACCGGGATGGGGAATACATGTAAAAAAAAAAAAAAAAAAAGATACACTATGGTTGTGATAAAAAATAAATAAATAAATAAATAAATTAAAAAAAAAAAAAGAAATGGAAAAAGAAAAAAATTTTTTTTAAATGGAAAAGAAGCTACAGAGCAAGTCAAAGCATAAGAATAATAAATTATTTTCTTGAAAAAAAAAAAAAACAAAGAATGCCCTACAGAAGTATTTAATAATTCAAGCTAGAGTTTTAAAGTGAAAGCAAATTTAGCTAATGAATTTAGAAAACAAAGTAACATTAATTTAAGCAATGTTCTGAAATTATTAAATATACCTTTTCTACTAAGTCCTTACTCTCCAAGACATCAAACTGTATCACAAAAAGGCCAGCCATTCTTGAGTTTCAAATAATGCAGTTTTGAATATTACTTCAGAAGTTAGTTTAACATAGAGATAAAAAATACCTATATATATATATATAAAATGAGTACATTTTTCCCGTTATGACTTTCAAATACAGTGTTTCTATTTGTTTGCCTGCTGACTTCAGTAGATACGGTTATTTCATATTCATTAGTTTGATCACTAACACCATTATACAACCAATGTAGTATAGTAGTTTATACCCCACTGTATCACTCTATATGATCACCACACCATTTCTACATTCCACAAATATTTCATGAGCTCCTCCTGTGGGCCAGTCTTTACCCTCAAGAAACTCAAATCCTAGAAGGGTAGAGAAATTAAACAGCTAAGTTATTCAATTATATTAATGAGAAGTGACTCCAAAAATGAGGAAATGCTCTACTTAAAGATATGAATAGACTATTAAAGATCTGCAATGAAAGGGTGTGTGTGTGTGTGTGTGTGTGTGTGTGTGTGTGTGCGTGCACGCGCACATGCATGCTCATGCTCAGTCGTGTCTGACTCTTTGTTATCCCATGGACTGTAGTCCACCAGCCTCCACTGTCCATGGATTCCCAGGCAAGAATACAGGAGCAGGTTGCCATTTCCTACTCCAGGGGATCTTCCCAACCCACGACTGAGAACCCATGACTCTTTACCAGTAGCGCCACCTGGAAAGCCCAGTTTGCTACGAATAAACTACTAGAACAAAAGTTCCATGAGGAAGTTTTTCCTTGTCCTATGCTCTACTTTATTCCCAGCAACTACAATAGCAGCTGACAAACCACAGAAACTCAGTGTTTGTTCAACAAGTCAAAGAAGGCACAAGAATGAGCACAGCAAGCCAAGGGTGAGGGGTGAGGGACGCTGCAGGGAAAAGCAGCCAGGTGGGGAGGACACGGTACTTTCCAGGAGTGAAATCCAGTATGGCTGGACCACACAGGATGGAGAGATGAGGCTAGACAGGCAGAGTCAGATCACGAACAACTTTAGGACAAAGGTCAAGATTTTTATTTCATCCCGAGAGTCACAAAAATCAATGAAAACATCTAAAGGTCAGAAGTAAAGTGATATAATCAAGTTAGTGTTTTAAGATGTTATTCTGATAAAGAGAAATAGAGAAGATGGGAAGAAAACCAGTCAGGCTACTACAATATCCCCAACAACTGAAGACAGAAGCTTGGTCTACAGTGGTGGAAATGGAGATAGAAGTAAAATAAACATATTTAAGATATATTGGAGAGTAATATGTATAACACTTGGTAATTAAATGTATATGAATACCAAAGAAAAGGGAGAAATCAATGAAGACTTCCAGATTTCTGGTTTGAGCAACTGTGTTGATGACTTTAGGGACATAAGCACAATTTTGAAAATGTTGAGTCTGAGGATGTGAGACATCCAAGTGGAACTGTCAAGTAGCAGCCACCATTGCCAAAATCTCTGCAAGTATAAATACCTTATTCATATCACAATAGTTAATTTTAATATTAGCTAAAGTAATCATCTAAAATCCAAATAAAAAACTTCAAAGGTCAAGAATTAAAGTTAATAATAGCACAGCACATACAAAAGCATCCTCTTGGGAACTTTAATGTCTCAAAATGCTCCTTAAAAAGGCGGTCCATGGACAAGTGAGTTTGAGCATTATTGAGTATTTAAATATGTACTTTGGGAGATACACACATTATAAGCCTCTAGAAAATGATAAACAAAAAACATGTTTATCATAATCTCGTTCAAACTTATTGGGTCTCAGTAGCTTTTATCACTAATACCTATTGACAAAATACGGCACTGGTGTGGTGAATGAATACACTCTGGCAAATACTGCATTACTGCCAATACTAATATTAGTTGTAAACTAAAGTTCGGCCATTATAAATGAAAAACAGAAGATGTCATTCAGTGTTTAGCTATACTGTGATAAAGAACAAAAACATGAACTAATGATACAAAGAGTATTAGTAATAATGTTATTTATTAACTAAAATTATAGGCCAAAATTTTTTAAATGATAATTTTTTTTAAAGTCACACCAACACAAGCATGAAATCTCCAGAACGGTGAAAACACAATTTCTACATTAACATAAAAGACATCTATGTTTTTCAAAACTTGTTATCTTAGTCAGGACACACAGACAACCATATCAATTTTCCAGAGAAGTAAAATATATGCAGGTTTAGGACTCCAACCTATGGCTTCCTATGACAGACAATACAGGGTCTTGAGGTAAGAACAGTGACTGCTGAATGTTAAACTCTTTAATACCCAGATACCAGTACTCAACGAGATTTGTACTATGCGGAAAGTGAAGAAGAACTAAAGAGCCTCTTGATGAAAGTGAAAGAACGGAGTGAAAAAGTTGGCTTAAAGCTCAGCATTCAGAAAACTAAGATCATGGCATCCGGTCCCATCACTTCATGGCAAATAGTTAGGGAAACAGTGGAAACAGTGGCTGATTTTATTTTTGGGAGCTCCAAAATCACTGCACATGGTGATTGCAGCCATGAAATTAAAAGACGCTTACTCCTTGGGAGGAAAGTTATGACCAACCTAGACAGCATATTAAAAAGCAGAGACATTACTTTGTCAACAAAGGTCTGTCTAGTCAAAGCTATGGTTTTTCCAGTGGTCATGTATGGATGTGAGAGTTGGACTATAAAGAAAGCTGAGCTAACTGTGGTGTTGGAGAAGACTCTTGACAGTCCCGTGAATTCCAAGGAGATCCAACCAGTCCACCCTAAAAGAGATCAGTCCTGGGTGTTGACTGGCAAGGACTGATGCTGAAGCTGAAACGCCAATACTTTGGCCACCTCATGCAAAGAGCTGACTCATTGGAGAAGACCCTGATGCTGGGAGGGATTGGGGGCAGGAGGAGAAGGGGACGACAGAGGATGAGATGGTTGGATGGCATCACTGACTCAATGGACATGGGTTTGGGTGGACTCCGGGAGTTGGTGATGGGCAGGGAGGCCTGGCGTGCTGCGATTCATGGGGTTGCAAAGAGTCGGACACAACTGAGCAACTGAACTGAACTGAACTATGTTGGAAGAAGAAAATCAAGTTGCTAGCAAATTTAGAAAAAAGCATTATTTTCAGACTAAGCAGAAACAATAAGCTAAGATACAAAAAATTTAATTGTGGCAACAATGATAAATACAGACAAGTACCAACTACACTAATGACATAAATGTCCCTTTACATCAAAATATAATTCTTATTTTTAAACACCTTTCTGCTTTAGAAATTATCATGTATTAGAGATCAATTTTATTAGCTTTTTCTTATATAAATAATCATTATAACTATAAGAAACTAGTTTTTTCTCTTTTATAAATATGCACAGCACCATCTATAGGCAAAACTTAAATAAGCATGTTCACGGATGTTAATTCTACCACAGAAACTCTGATCCTTATAGTAACTCAATGTAACATGTCTATATATGCACAGAACATCTCCATAAGAACACCTGAAAAGACTTCAATAGATTTTGGTTCCAGGAAAAAATCAGAAACAGAAAAGGAATAAAATATATTAGAAGTCAAGACACCAGCTGCCACCTTTCATTAAATACTTGTAAGAGATTTTTCTATTAGTTCTAAAAAAATTTGCTAACCTCTTCCTTCTTTCTTATATCAACTTCCAATATGTTTTCCAGAGACTGCCAAAGACTGCTGACCAGAATGAGAATATATTTCCAAATAAACATTCAAGACCACAACTGCTCATCTTCAGTATGCTGTGTGGTTATGATGAAACATACCTCCAGCTGTAATTCTGTGTACTTTCTCCTAAGTTCAGTGACTTCTTCTCCAGCTTGCATCTTCTTATATAAATCCAGTTCTGTGTCAAGCAACTCTTTCTGCATCTAGAAAACAGTGATTAGTAATTCAGGTGACAATAATATCCTGCATTTATATACATATACACACATACACACACTTTTTATAAGGAATGCTTTTTATGTATTCCTATTTAATCTATACATTTGTTCTCTATCTCCAGTCCTACCATCCTAATTCAAGCCATCAATCACCTCTGGTCTACACTAATGCAACAGGCTTCCTAACTTGTTCCTACTTTCACTGATTTCCCTACAATTCATTTTCCATATGAAAGCCAGAGTGAGATTTCTATGGACTGACATGGAAGAATTTTCAGGAAATAACTGTGAAAAGGAAAACAAAAACTAAGGTGCAAATGAGGACTACACAGTACCCTTTCGTGTAAGAAAGAATACAAACACACACATACCAAGAGGGAGGGAAGAGTGGGGAACAGAGTGCCAGGGATCAAACAGGAATGATCATCTATATAATCCTTTATTTATATTAATAGTATAACTTTTGAATCATGTTAAGTATTTATTTATTGAGAAAATAAAATTAGGGTAATTAAATTGAGAGAGTGAAACAGGAGAGAATTATATTAATGGAGCCTCCTTCATGGTTATTACTGAGCAATTGCTAAAGATTATTTGAAATAACTTCAAATCAATTAGGACTGTATAACCTTCGTATCGTCTGGAAATTAATTCTTCTATATTAAAGATATACTAAGATCCTCATATATTATGAAATAAAATACATTTTAACAATAAAAATACAAGAAAATTAAATCAACAAGAATAAGGGGGAGGGGAATCCAAAATTGAATACATATAGAAATAGACTTAACTTTATCAAATTAATAACATAACCACACAAAAGGAAAAAAACAAAAATGTGATCCTATACCACAGTTTGATTCTATACTCTTAATGGAGTATATTGTGAGGTTGTAAAGAATGCAAACAAATTCTGAATTTTATATTTAGTTAGCTGACGGAAGTGGTATTGTTTTAGCAATTCTGGAACCATCTGAATGTGAAAGTGTATACTGTATTGATATTAGTGGGAACAAGTTGTCATTATGGGAACAGGTAAATAGGTATAAGAGAAAGAAACAAAGAACCCTGTGGTGTTAGATTAGAATCAGAAATATTAATATGAACTCATGATTTTACACACACACACACACACACCCCCAGTGTAAGTATTTGTAACTCCATGGGTTTTTTAAAAATCACTTACTGTCATCTAAAATTAAATTGCTCAATTTCTTATGTCTAATCAGTTAATCTACTTGAATTTCCTTCCATTCAATCAGTTCATTCTGTACAGTGACTCAAACTGTTACTTCTGTTCATTAATATTTTATACCACCAACTACTTACAAAATAAAGCTTAAACTCCTGTCAAGCATTCAAGCACATATATTGTTTTGTCCTCAAGCTACTTTTTAAAGATTATCCATTACTATTCTACTAATTATTGACTTTCTAGCTACAATGTACAGGATTCAAAAGATGAAATCAAGTTTGCTTATTTGTATTTATTAACTTATTAATTAATAGAGAAGGGGGAGAATGGTAGTATATGATCAAATTTTGAACAAAGAATGTTAACTAAAGAATGAATCTTAATGCAGTGTTTTAATTTTTTTTTGCACGCACATGCAGTATGAATAACAACACAAACTGAAATACCTGAGTCTTAGTTTTTATACTTTTTGGAAGACAGCGTCCAGGAGAAGCAGCTTTGACCTCATCTTTCAACTTGGTAATATTTTTAGTCAAAACCTCTAAAGTTTTCATTATTTCTGCTTTATCTTCAGACTTCATTGCTTTGTTTTTCTCCAGTTTTGAAATTAACATCTGGCCAATTTTTAAAAACAAAAATATAAGACACACTTCTGCTACTACTTAGAAAGCAAACATAGCACTGTAAATATAAAAATAAATAACTACTACTTATAGCTTATGTATTCATGACAAGGCTTACAATCACCAAGACAGCAGAACAGCAGATTGGTGACACTATCTCAATTCAAGTCTTAATCTTGGTTTGCACTGTGAAGAACTATAGTACTGCTTAAGTCTCTTAGATATAAATTTCTTATGGTTATAAACTTTAAATTTAATTTAATCCCTGAAAAGTCATCAATTTGAAAGAGCAATAATTTTACTTTCTAATCCATCTGTTGATATTACTGATTTCTAAGTATTCACACTCCAAAAGCAGTCTGAAACCCAGAAAGGATCACAGGGAAAGTTTTACGGCTTCCTTTCATATTAGAAAGGTGGAATATTTAATTACCTCCTTTCTTTTGTTAGAGGGAACAGTAACTGTCTAGGCTAAGAATAATACGCTGGACGAAGATAAGAAGTAAGAAGATAAACACGGTAAGGAGTAGAAGACACCACACAATATAGATTCTATAGTATTACAGTATAGTATTACAGATTCTGAGTCAAGATGGTTTCAGTTTTTGGTGTAAAGCATTGTGATGTCTCTTTATCAAGTATATACAAATTTAAATCAGAAAAGAAATAATTTTAAGCCAAATGTTCAAAAGGTTGTGTATTTTTAAAATTTTTAAATGCTATAACTTTTATTACCAGACATAATTAAGAACTGACACCTAATTAAATGTCATATCTACAGCAAAACTGTGGCATCTTCTACTCCCTATTACCATGTTAATCTTCTTACTTGCTATGTCAGGCATATTGTTCTTAGCCGAGCCAGATACTTTTCCCTCTGACAAATCTAACTTTAATTCTTTTACCTTCTGTGTTTCAATGTGCTTTTCTAAAATTTCTTGTTTCCTTTTCCTTACATCTTGCTGAAGTTTCAGTGCCTCCTAGAGAAGGGATCAAAAATAGTATTAGAAAACTTACTTTTCAAAAAAAACTCCACCATTACTTCAGAAGACAGAACAGTGCTCTAAATGAGATTGTGGCGAGAAGCTTGGAAACAAAAATAAATGCAAAATTTTCCTATGTAAAGCTTAAACAGTATGCAAGTTTCAAAGATTAATCAGAAGAGCCTTTCATTAGAAGAAGAAAATTAATATTTACTAATATATTACGGAAAACGAAAGTTCAGTGGCCGCCAACATATATACCTTCATCTCTATTTTATGAAAAAACACATACATGCAGAAAAGGCTTCCCTATATGCAAACACTGTACACTACTAACTATACTTACCTGCTTTTTTTTCTGTGCTTCATTATTATCAACTGTAGAAGTGGAAACAAGTAACGTTTTTTGTGCAGCCTTCAAAGCAGCTGGATTATACACCGTTTTTGTTAGGCCAGTAGATGTAGACAACACCTACCAATACAAATTCAATTTCTCAAAAAATGTATAAAGTAGTCATGATCTCCTGAGTCCTATTTTCCTTCAAAACTCAACTTTAAAGCACTCCTGTCAAAATTTAACACACTGAACTAAAAGGACTTATATAGTTACAGTAACTAAGTCACATTTAGCATCTTGAAAGGAAGGGTATGAGTGGGGGATATGCTACAAAATGAAAAAATTTTAAAGTAATATCATATACCTTTTGCTTTGAAAAAAGCAACAAACATATAAAAACTTCAAATTAATAAACACTGGTGGTATTACTGTAACACTGATAATAAAGTATTAGTTGCTCAACACATTACTAGTATTCCTAGTGACTAAGGAAAAACTGTACACAAGAGCACAGCAGAGGAGGAATTATGTCCTGAAAATAATTTAAAATGATCATTTGTAATGGACATTTCTGACATTAACCTTATTGCTTTGTCTTCTCCATTTCTTTGCTAGCATTAGCATTACTCCTTTTACTTTAAGGGACCTTATTCCCTTTAATTCAGCTCAGGTTTAGCACAACCATTCAAGATCTCTGCAAAGTCCTAATCACTTATTTCTTCTAACCTAGGTTCCTCTGTGAAATAATATTCCTATTAAAATATTTAGTAAAAATGACCTGATGATACTTTAATTTATATTTCTCTCTCGATCTCTCTTCCCTGTCCTTACTGTAAGAGCCCTGAAACATAAACCATGTCTTTCTCTTCTTTGTGCTTCTTCCAGTATCTAAACCTTGCTACCAACTGGTGAGTTCAGGAACCTTGAAAGTTCAACCTGATGGTGTCTAATGTCCTCATAAACCCAAAGATTCATTCCATAAGGGTAAGGTGTTTTTTTTTTTTTTTAACATGGCTCACTGCTGTATCTTCAGTGCCTAGAACAGTGCCAGACACAAAGCAAGTACTTGATAAACACTTTTGCACTACATTAAAATGAAGTGATGGTAGACCAGAATGAACAATCTTTTCCTCACAAAAGTCAATTCAAGAAAACTAAAGTGTACAGGCTGCCTTTTTTATCTTCCAAAAGAAACAGAAAGTTGTAGGTTCCAGAGAGTGGTTGATCACTGGTTCTTGGGAAGGAGTTTAGAGATCCTTTCAAAGAGATCTATGAATGCCACGAAACCTAAACATGAAACCACGTGTGAGAGAGTGTAACTTTCCAGAGGAAAAAATACAGCTTCCAAACTCATGACCTAAAAGAAGTTAGAAGAATTATGTAAGTAGAAGAGATCAATGAGAAAACGAGTCCTATTTTCTGACTACTAAAACGTAAATAATCAGGTATAACAGAAAAGTAGCAATCTTGACATGACTTTCTAATATTTTATCATGAAATTAGATTAGGGAACATCACAAAGCTTAAGCAACTCATCACTATTCTAAGTATTCAAGAATGTCACAGCTTCAAAATGAAAAAAAAAAATCTAGAATATTGTAATTATACTACCTCCATACAGCACAACTGATGTTTAAAAATAAAGGATTTTTACAGTAGTTGATATGTTCAAAATTTGATAATTTTTCTTCAGCAATGAAAACACTCAAGGTATCACTAACAAATATGAAATGGCTGCATTCAGTAAAATATAAAATGGACATGGATCTAGTTCACAGTCTAACTTGTTACTATTCTATCATGCTACCTTACCACACTATGCAATGTCAAACTGTATGAAAATGTAAGGGTGAGACAAACACTGTATAAGGGGAGAAACACAAGATGATCTGCTGAAGCAAAAGTTGGAGTGTTTCATAAACCATCTTCATCATGATGGTTCTATAACAATTGAAAAGCTGTGACCCAAAAAGATTTCTATATTCAAATAAACTTGGAAACAATATTACTATTTTGTCCTTTCAAGGTATATTATCATAAGAGCTGTGAGAAAGCCAGAAGTAAAGAAATCCATATAATTTAACTCAGCATTTCTCCAATTTCAAGGGGTAGAGAATTCTTCCTTTCAAAGTATTGTTATTAATACCAGATTTCAGACTAAGGTGTACTGTTTCATGGTTAATAAAAGCATCCGACAACAAGAAGATTTCTGTATTCCTGTATCACTTCCTTGTTTTGTCCAGGAACTTCCTTCTGTAAAAACAGAACATGAGCTAACATATTTCACCGAGTTTAAGACACCACTGACTAGGAGGTCATTTGATATAACCCTACTAAAGGAAAAGGCTGCCAATTATAACCATAAACATCAACAACTATAAGATACAGCCCAATTTCAGAGGTGCAAAAATGTGAAAATAAAATGTCTTACAAACGGTGAACTATATGATTACAAATGTTGCTCACTATCTGAAGCTATTTGGTTTCAGAGTTAAGATAGTAAGCGTTTGAATAACAAAAAATACTTGCATTTTTCAAAAGATAAAGATAGACTTGTGCCAAAAGGAAATCTGTTAAAAATGAAACCAGTGGAGGGAAGTACAAACCCAACAGAAAAGATGATGCTACAGTTCTAAGAATATAATCAAAACATAGTAGCCTTTCTAAACAACCACATCTCTATTTACGAAAGGGTTTCTGCATATGCCATATTTTTACATATTGACTTTATTTCCAGTAACCTTACTGCATTCACTTATTAATTCAAGTTGTTTGTGAATCCTTTTGGATTTTCTACATATGTAATCACATCATCTATTAGTAGACATAGTTCTGTTTCTCCCTTTCCAACATTTATGCCATTTATTTTACTGCTTTATTATAATGGTTAGGCCCTACACTACAGGGAAAAAGTGACAGGAGTGGACATCCTTTATTCTTCCTGACTTTGGGGGAATGTATTCAGTATTTCATCATTAACAAATAATGTTAGCTGTAGGGTTTTTTTGTGTTTGTTTTTTTTTTGCAGATATACTTTGTCAAAATTAAGGAAATTTCTATTACTAATTTCCAAAATGTGTAATGTGACTAATTTTATCACATGTTTTTTTCCTACTGAAATAATCAATGGGATCCAATTCCCCTCCCTTCATTATCTACCCCATTCCTCCCCTCAATCTTTCATTTTGTTAATATGGTGAAATAAACTGATTTTCAAATGCTAAATCAACCTTGCATTTCTGGAATAAATGCTACCTGGTCAAGATGTATTCTTTCTAATACCACTGCACATTTGCTAACATCGTATTTAGGACTTTTTTGTTTATGTTCATGAAATATTGGCTTGTAATTTTCCTTTCTTATAATACACTTGTCAGGTCTGTTAGCAAAGCTTTTGTTGAATTCTTAAGATGAGTTGAAAAGTATCATATCCTTTGTTATTGAAATATATACATCACTAATACCTCTTACTTTCAAGGTAAAAGCCAATTCTTCAATAAAATAGAGGTTATAATCTATTAACACCTTCTTATTCATTTCCTATATAAAATATTACAAGCCATGACTACTATTAGTACTTATAAAAAAAAAGGAAAAAGATTTTTCTCATGGGTAAAAATGGGGAAAACAACTATTTTGTAAAAATGATTTACTGCAAAAGAAGGTTATTACAAATTAAGTCATCCAAGTATCATTTTTTAATAACTGGTGCCAAGTTAAAATCAAACACAAAAGAAACATAGTTAAGATGACTCAAAGTCACACTCAATAAGCTAGTTCTCACATGTTTCTAAAACAGATGCCAATTTTATTCTTCATAAATCTCTCTATAGTAAGCTGAGGCATTCAAGCATCATTTTATTGATCATGCTATTCAAATAATACCTACTTAACAGCTACTATAGTATCTTAATATTTAGCAGCAAAAATCAGGTTTTAAGTTTCCTCTTTCTTAGCCCTCTTACATGAAACCTTAGAATAACAAAGAACCACTAAAGGGTTTATTGGCTATTTTAAGAGGTAGGGGATAAAATTTTATATTTGTGCACTTATTTGCCTTAACAATGACAGAAATTACTGCTTAGATACAAGGTTTGAGTTTTTGCCTGCTTTCAATTTTTAAAAAATTTAAATAACATTTGATGAACATTCTCCTACTCTTCCCTAAGACTGCTCTGCTATCACTAAGCTCTAAGGACTATTACACAAAATCCCTACTGACTAGGGAAAAGAAATAACCAAGAATAAGCAAAAACAAAATGCTATTCTGTAAACAGGTTCACTGAAGACTGGAAGTTACATAGTGGTAAATAATTGCTTTCCTTAGAAGATTCATTACAATCTTAACTGAGTAATTTTCTTTCATAAATAGCCCACTACCATTAGTGATTTTTCATAAATTAATGCTAACTATATTAGCAAATTTATACTATCAATTCCAAATCTGTACATTTTTTTATCTAAAGCTATACAAACATGTTAAAAAAATAATGAGAACAAGTAGGAAAACATACTACAAAGGTTTTGTAAAAGTTGTAATTAGTACACTTTAATTTCAGAGTGCAAATCTTAACACAACAGATCCTAAACATAATCAGGGTTGTAGACCTCTCCAAAATTGCTTAGTACTATACTAAGGGTAACGATCCTTATATTGTTGTGTTATTCCTTAGTTACTTATTATCAAAGAGGATAAAAATAATCAAAGTAAATATTCAGACACCGCTAAATTTAGTAGCATAGACTAAGCCACACAGAATCAGGCGGGGGCAGGGGGGAATATATGGAAAAATCTGGAGGTTTCACAGTAGAGGTTAGAGATTTTCAATTTTTAAAAGAATGACTAGAACTAGAATTCTGTTAGGCAGAGGGAAATACACTCCAGAAAAACCACCACCAAAAAGAAGAAAAAAAGAGGCAGGAAATAGCAAGAGACAATGAGCAGAAAAGGGCTTATTAGGGTAGAAAGGAAGACCTAAAGCAGAGGTGAAAGAACCAGAATAATTGAGGTATGATGAGTTATTAATCCAACAAAGTCATTTAGCTGAGAAAATTACTGTAAGTTTCTATAAGGAGTTAAAGAGAGTCTAAGGGTAGGATGGTGGCAGTGTAATTAGAGGGGGTGCCAGCCCAGAGGTCAGGGAACTGAAGGTGGCAGAGACCTACAAACACAAGTGGATGACTCTAAAGCTTCTAGATTGCACAACATGAAAATGGTGCCATCACTTCCAGAGGTGGGTGGCTAGGAGAAGATATTGATTTACAGAGGAAATAATGAATCATTTTAGGCATTTTATGCCTGAAGTAATGCTGAGGTACCCAAGAGGAAAATTTGATATTCAGAATGAGATCATATTCAAATTTCTAGAACTGACAAAATTTAACACAGTAAATATGGAAATAATATACTGAAGAACCAGTGAAGAGAGCAGGTCAGCTATTTCATGAGACGTTCTAATTATCTATAATGTCAATTTCCTCTGTCATCTTCATAATGGAAAGAGCCAAAGGCTAGAAATAGAAGATCCAGATTCCAATCTTAGCTCAGTAACTCACAGTGTATAGCTCAACCATAAAGTTTGCGGGGCCTTACCTTCTTTTAAGGTGAGGATAAAGAAATAAGAAAGATTATCTAATTCTAATATTCTGTGATTTCACATACCTCAAAAAAAGACTAAAGATCAGGGCCATTCACTCACACCTAAACAAAAAAATAATTTATCTACACAGAACTATAAGACAGGTCCAAAAATGCTCTTAATTTAGTCAGCATTTGCTCCCCTCATTTGAGAAAAAAATGACTAACTGTACTGTCACGCTATACACAATAGCTGTTGTCATAAACAAACTTATTTATACCATTCCTTCCAATTTACAAAATACTCATATTTTATTTAATCCTCATAAAACCTCACAAGAAAGACAAATATAACCATCACCACTTATCGATGAGGAAAAGGGTTCAGAAAGATTAAGCGCACTGCCCAAAGACATGCAGTTAGTAAGTGAAGAGCCAGACTCAAACTCAGGTAAAGTTCCTAATTCATGGCCCTTTCTACAAGGTTATCAGAGGTTTAAAATTAAAATGCACAATATCTCTAAAGAAAAAATAGTAAGTGAAAAAAACAAAAAGAATGGAGCATAAGGAAATACAGTGAGCGGCAAGTATTAAAATGCTGATGCAAAAAGTAAAAAGAGGTAGGCAAATACTTTTCTTTTTCAGCAAATGGAAAGCAAAAAGTTAGGAATAAAAGATACAGATACTATTAAGAAGCAAGAGTTTGTAACTATGAAAAAAATTAAAAAATTAAGATGCCACCTGAAAACATTTATGAAGCCAAGACACACACATCATGCTATTCTTCTTACCTTTTCAGTTGCTGAAACAGATGGCTTTGATACAAAACCCAACCTGTCCTTCACAGATAACTTAGTTACATTCTAAAAAAATTAAAATGGACATATTCAGTGTTTCCCCAAACATATATAAGTCTGTAGGGATTTTGAACATTCTCATTCTACTAACATATCCTGACTATAAGTATACTGATATTAATAACAAAAACTTGGGCCATTTGCAAAGACAGAGACAGAAAGAAAATGTGTTTGGAAAAATAAACAGTATATGGTATTACTCAATCATGGAAAATGATTATATAAAGAGGTTTTAAAATAATTTTAAAATTATTGTGCCTGTCACATAGGCAGGTGGTTTGCTAAAGTCCCCTTCACTGATACAGAATAATAAATTCTTAGAATCCTATATTGACAAGTAGAAAGTTTGTGCATTCTAAATATTAGAGTAGTTAAAAATGCGCCTGCTTCTTGAGCCTAAAACAAATGCCATTCTTTCCTATAGTATGTTTGTTTTATGGCCAGTATACACAGTATTCGGTGATGATTTGAGATAGCAGGATTGGAGGGTTGTTTGTTTGTTTTTTAGTACCTAATAATTTACTAATTTACATTCTGCGTGTTTTTATAAAATCTCAATGTCTTACTCTTCAGGAATAATTTGCGAAGACTATTTTAATAAGGTGGCATCCATTAGCTAAGTAGGATACTACATCCTAACTATCTTACACAGCAAATGTTGAAACATCTATAGACAAAAGAAAGTTAAGTTTCAGAGACTGAGGGTGTGGAAACCAGAAACTGCCACTCGAGTGTGGAAGGGAGTGGGAAGGGAATGACATATGGAGAAGAGAACCTGAGAATCAGGAGTAAGTGAAGCAAAGTTCTAAGAGAGCTGCATTAAGTAACTTGAAGCTTTAAGCCTTCCCTTCCCAAAAGCTTTCAGTTCAGTCTACTACATAATTATGTCTGGAACAGGAGTCTAATGAAGTAAAAGATGACAGGAAAAATAAGATTTAATGTACTAAATCTTTACTTTTTAGGCAGTTTTGCTCGAAAGTGTCTCCTCTATGAAGTGAAAAAGAACTCTTTCTCATAAATAAGTATTAGCTAGAGAAAAGAATTTAAGATTCAAATACTACAGGAAAAGTAGTCTGTAAAATGTTATGGTAATGGTAAAAAAATTTTTTACAGGTGCTGTTCAAATACATACAGACTATATTTCTGTATAAGTGTATATATACACACACACACACATATATATATACATACACACATATACAATTAACTAAAATTCAGATAACCAAGGGAAACTAATAGACTGAGAACCTATCATGTGACAGGCACAATAAGACTTTTCATTTACCTGAGGAAGGTCTGAACTGGCACTCTGGGCTTCTGCTGGTTCAATAGTACTTGAAGGTACTGGACCCAACCGCTCTTTGACTGACTGCTTCACAACAGGCAAGATGGGCTGCTGAACTAAAGGCTGCATCACCTCAGAACAAGAAGAAAATGTTAAACAAGCTGATTACTTCATGAGCAGGGAGAGTAACCTTCATTATCCTGTTACTAAGTTGCCCATGCACACAGTGTTAAAAGTGCAGCTTAGAATCAAAACCTAACCACCTGCCAAATTCCTTCCTTCATACAAGTTCCCCATACATGTCTACAGATACAAAAAAATATTTATAAAGTAGAGGGAAAAATAAAAACCTACCCTTTAGTATCTTTTGTCTCTCTTTAATTAACAGAAGAAAGCTAAATAGAAAAACAAGCTGCTATAGTACACTTCTACAAGCAATTAAACTTTATATATTGATTGACTTCCTGATTAAAAGAAAGAAAAAGAAAAAAAGGAAAAAGGAAGGATGGATTTCCAATATGAACTCATGAGTTTCTAGAATACATACAGGTACTACATACTGGAGTATCTCCCACTTTAAGGGATGGTTCTATATTTTATATGTATCATCTTATGACTTTCTAAACTAGGGATGAATGTAATAACAAAATGAAGAGCAGGTTAGAGAAATTAAGTAACTTGCTCAAGCCTACATACAGTTAACAATGGTAGAGCCAGGATGTGAACTCAAGTCTACCTGACTGCATGCCTCTGCTTTTAAAAAACACTATGCCAAATGCTTTTCTTTCATAAGAAAAGCATTTAATTTCACACAGACTTCTCTCTTACCTTTGGCGAAGTAGTTTGCAATTGCTGGGTGCTTCCTTCTCTGTGCCAGTAAACTTTAATAAATCGATTATTTAGCACTGCTTCTGTACTTGATATCGCTTTCTTTGCTTCTTCATATGTTGCAAATTGGATAAGGGCACCTTCAGGATCCCCATTATAGGCAACCTAAGATTTAAAATATTAAACACAGCAAATTTGCAAATGAATCAGTTGCTTTATAAAGTAAAATGCCCCAGGAAATGAAATACTGGTCCTTCCAAGTTACAGTCTATCTTTACACTACCTTATATGGAGATTATTACCATAGTCTACTTTCACTCCAGAAGAAATGGTCCAACTGTGGACCACTCAGAGTAGAATCAGCCTCCTCTAAATAACATTTGAGAGAGAATGCTCATTGCACAAAGGTTATATACAAGCATTCAAAGTGTTTTATTTCTTACCCCCAATATTAATGCTATAAGAAATAATCCTTATGTCAGTGAGTGATGTAGAGTCAAAAGAAGGCAGTAAACTATTTTGAAAGGAATGATCTCTAACTAAAAATTACAGAAAAATCCATCTAAAATTTTCCAAACTAGTTAATTCTCACAAAAATAATTCCAAAAGCACACACAAAAAAATCTTAGGTGGGGGAGAGGGGAAATCTACAAAACAATAGCAACGATCATATTTTACACATAAGAAAATTAAGACTGAAAAAGTATGCGATTCTTTAGACCCATACAATGAATAAGTAGTATTAACAGATCCAAGGCTGTTTAGTATTCAATAATACCAGCACTTTCAAAGTGTGTTCTATAAACTACTGGTGAGGCAAAGCAATACAAAATAGGAATTAAGCACACAGACCCTGAATCAAACAACCCGGTTCTGGATAACAATACTGCCCATTCTGTAGTTGTTAAGAATTAAACAGTAATTCATATAAAATGGTGGGGCGGGGACTGTACACGGGGCAGGTGGTGGTGGGGTGTTCAATTAGGATAAAGCTATAGGGTTTTTTGAAACTAACTTTTCAAAAATAAATATTTTATAAATAATAAGGCAAATGGGATACAGATACAGCAAAAGGACCTGTATGGAGATAACAATCTCAATGGTAACTGAGGAAGTACAAATTGAAACAATATAAATTAAAGAAAAAAACTGAAGTAATAGTGAGATACTCAGCTTTAAATTTCTTTAAATTTAATATTACTAATGTAGTTAATTGGGTAAGGAAAATAATTTTTCAAAGTCTATATCTACATGTGGTAGGTCAAATTGAACTGCCATAAAAAGATATTTAGAGATAGTCCAGGTAACATTAAATTATTACAGGGTAATATGTATACTAGGGACCCACAACAAGGACCCACATACTTTTAAATACATATATATTTTTAAGCCTGAATACGAATTTATTGGTAGATACATACAGAAACACAAAACAAAAAATCCAAAATAACACATGGTAAGCTGTTACCAATAATGTAATAATATCATGCAGATGCATGAGGAAAAGAAGAGACAAAGAGCTGAAAATATTTTCTTTAAATCTGTAGAAATCTCTACTAACTGACCCTAAGCAAGCATGCATTTTCTCATCTATTACTTAATAATATTACTTTTTAAAGGGCAACACCACAGAATTTTCCAAAATACCAACTTGAGCTGTACTCTCTAACATCTATTCTTATCAGATTATGGGAAATAATTATTTTAGTTGAAAAGAATGCCATACAAACTGGAAAAGAAGCCCAACATTATTTCAACACTTTCAGCATATCACATAATATAAACTCAATACAAAATAATCTCACAAATAACATATACCTAAGCCAAGGTCTAATTTTAGGTGAAATCAAATACAAATTACAGATATTTATCTTAAAAGACATTCAAAAGCAGTAAGGAAAAAATAAATCTTTAAACTAATTAGGTATTTGGGCCCGCAAAGTATCTGTTAGATATGTTCCACCTTAGAGGCAGCAAAAATAAATGTGACTAAAGCATTCTGCTAAAGTGAAACTAAGGAAATGAAAACTATAGTAAGATTAGACTTTACCACTGTGGCTATTTAACTTTACTGTAATTTTACAATAACCTCTATTAGGTAAAAACTATATAATATGATCAATCAAGCCTCTTGCCTTTTCAAAGTAAATATGTTATTCTAAATCACATTTTTCTAAAATACAACGTTTCATTTCATATCCAATTTTCTAAATTTAGAATATTACCAAAATTTCCATAATATTTTCTTGTAAAAGTATTTCTTTTTACTATATTAAAATTTCCTCTCTAAATCAAGCAAAGACAACAGAATCACTTCATAGCTCTTACCTGCAAGTTAACCAAGGTTCCAAATCGACTAAAATGCTCATTAAGTTTGCTGATATTATTTAATTCTGGAGGAACTTTCCTAAGTTCAAGTTTCGTATTTTCATTTCCAAACTGAACCTTTTTCTGGAAGCCTGGGCTGTTTGTTCTATTAAAATTTGGTCTGTAACAAAAATCAAGTTAATTAGTATATTCATTTATAAATCCTGATCCTTATCAAGTACAAATGAATAAAGTTTTGCAACTTAAGTTCAATTTTCTTTTCAAAATTGAAATTGCTAGTTGATAAAGGAAATTTATACTTTTTTCCTTAAAAAATGAAGTTTCCAAATATAAGTAGTGTTCATATCTTTCACAGAAGCCAAGTGAGAAGGGTTCTTCCAGATCATTTGTCCCTCCCCACTTCTATTCTACACCTGCTTAAAATTATCAGCAGGAAAGGTCTACCCTGTTTCAGTCAATTTGCCTATATAACCACTTCACCATTTGCACCATTTCAGCAAAAGCTAGCTTATTGAAATAATCCCTATTTTTAAATACTGATTAAAAATAAGAAATCACTGTCTCGATCTCTTTACAATTAAAACAAAATGTGGGGAACAATAGACCATACGCTTGACACTTGAAGAAATGGGGGCAAAACTGTGGCTCAGGGAGGTTGTAATTCTTGCCTTAAATCAGAGAATTAAAGGCAAAGCCAGAACTATATATTACCCATTAATAAACATACAATAAAGTTCTAAAAGTGTAATCCTAGTCTTTCCTCAAACATGCTAAACTGTAAATGAATCATCAAACACATACACTAACATTCTGATTCTTTACCTGCTTCTCTGAAGCCCTTCCTCAACAACTTCAGTGCCCATCCTATCTCCCCTGCCCCCACCAAAGACTGCTTTCTAACTCTTAATAGGAATCGCCCACATGTTAAAGCCTCCTCCCATTTCTTACCTAATAGCAGGCTCATGACTATACCTTAAATAGCTAGTATTCAACAACATCTCTAAGTTAACGGTTGGGTTTTCGCGGGTAGGTAGGTACAAACAGGAAAAACAATGGGCTAACCACCAGACCATTTCTATAAGCAAGTACCTTCCAAGTACCAGACGACTAACATACACACTTTTAGAAAACAGATACTATATACTTTAGTTGGGGACTCCCTACAGAATAAATTTTACTTTGAAAGAGACCACTATTACTGCCACAATAATACTGCAATGATTCTAAAAATCACTGCACAATAAAATTCCTCAATTTCCCCTGCCAGCTTACTTATCAAACCAAGTCTTCTTTGTAGGAACTCCAGGCTCCCCAGAACCAATGGTTCTTTTCCTTGACTCTGAATCCACTACTATCCTCATAGTGCTTTTATTAGGAGGCTTTTCTGTTTGAAACAAAAGAAAAGAAAGCAAAGATTAATAGTTTCTGTTAATCATAGCCACATTCTTAAATTTACATTAAAAACAAATTTCTGGCTTTTCGTCCAAATATACATTTTAGAAGAAACAGAAAAAAATGTACATCTAAATACAGTAATCTAAGGGATTTTAATTTATTTTGAAATCCTTTCACACTTAAATGAAGAATCAGTAATTCTCATATGTCAAATTAATAATAAACAAATCATCTTGGGACTCTAAGTTTATAGTTTTGAAATCAAATGCACAACCAATAAGATTCAAAATTTAACACTAATGCAATGACCTTAAAAATCAACAACTTTGAATTGCGACTGAAATGAGCTGCTTATTTAAACATCAGCAAATTATCATAACAAAATTATGTTAAATTTTAAAAAGATTCAAAAGATTGAAATGCATTGCGAAAGAACTGTAAACATCTACTTTCAATATTTTACACACTTTTAAGAGTTTGACAAACACAACTGCATTTAACCTGTTATTCCCAAATGATGCCAAAGTTCAAAACATGCTAACCTTAGTCCACATAGAAAAAAAATGTATATTTAAAATTCCTTTTTAAAAAGGAACTGGATAAATTGGTTATTTAAATCCTTTTCTGAGTATCTCTAAACACATGTAACCGAAAGAATTCTGGATCTGTTTCAGCACAGTCTTTCTCACGGCTACCACTATAATCCCCAAGCATGTCTTCCTACCAAATCGATTCTTCCTCTCAATGAATAAAAGTATCATCTGCCCAATTATCCAAAAGCAGAAACCTGGTGTCTCATTTTACTCTCTCCATTAGCCCCATTCTAAGTCCCCAAATCAATAAGTTATAGGTGTTGTCAATTCTCTCCACTGAACTTAAATCTTTTACTTCCCAGCGTTACTACGCTAGTCTAGCTACCATCATCTCTTCCACAATTTTTCAGACGCCTGTAATTGACCTCCTATTCCCTCTAACATTCCTTACTCCCTCTGTTCTAATCAAAAAGATCTTCTGGAAGTTTCACAAAAGTATCAACAGGCTATATGTGCTTTATCAACCCCCTTTTTCTGACTGACTGACTTATCCTATATCTCTTCAGCATATCAGGTAGAAACATCCAGCATCTGGTATTGCAGGCATTCACAGGACAAACTGTATTTTCTTTGACCAATGGTATCTTCACAGGACCAGTTTTGCAACAGAATTTCTGGCCTTATTATTGCCTCTCCAACATGTTCGTTCATTAGCCCTTTTATAAAGTCTTTAAGCTATCCAATATCCTTTTCTACTTTAACATGTTCTTTATCTGAAGGTTCATTAAGAAAGACAGTGATGTGTTTGCTTCAACTCATCTGTATTCTCTCACTCATATTCTCTTTCTTTATTAGTTATTTAAACACACAGAAGCAAGTTCCTCTTGATATACAATTAGCAAATGTGTCTTTTAGTTCCATGTATTCTGTTTTCCCCCAATATCTTTTTAATAAATTGTTTTTCTGCTTAAAATTTTCAGCACTAGTTTTGTTAATGAAAACTACTGAGCCCATATTCCTACCTATCTATATCCAATCAAGAGTGTCTAGCAAGTTTTCCACTGCCTTAGAATCTAGAATGAACGATTATCAGGTCTTGAGGTCACCTTTTTTAGTAATTCCAAGGCAGCAAAAGGCCTAAAGTTTTGTCATTTGCTTAAAAACAATAATTTCCTATGAAGCTTTAAGTACAAAGCATAAAAATAGTTTGCACATAATAGTCTGTGACAAATTTAAATGAGGCCATCAGAAGGCTATTATAAATGTATAATAATTACGTAATGAACAATATTATAAACTTTTAATTACGTATAGCTCACAATCCAGGCCAGTAAATTTCAAACTAAATAGGCAATAGCTGAGAACATTTTGGGGGGGAAAAAGACTGAAAAAGATAAGGAAATAGAAGTATAGGTAACCCTCAGTTTAAATGGTTTGCTAAATCAGGTGTCTGGTACATAAAAACAATTTATGGAGAATATATTCCTGAACTGCTTACAAAAACAGTACACGAAATATCTAAAGAATAGTACTAAAATAATCACTATGTATAATGATTCTATGAGAAAAGGCATTCAAATTTCTAAGTAGGCATACCAGACATTTATATCTCAGCGAGCCATTTCCTGAAACTTCTAACTATAGGCATGTGGAGCTGAAATTACCATAATTCCCACTTCTACATGGTTAAGACTTATGTGCAAGGGATTTGATCCTTCTGTCTTCCCTCAATCACCACCAACAATAAAAAAAAAGTGACCAAGATTTGGGATGGGTCCAATGTTGATCTATAGTGGAAAGCTGCAACGTAAGAAAGAGACAATTTGAAGCTTCAGAGGTTCTAGTGAGAGGAATGAATACTGGTATAGTCAAAGAAAAGGAGTGCTAAGTCACGACCGAAAGAAGGAAGTGGTTCTTCTCCGAACTAGTCAGGTAGGAGACACTCGGGACGAGCCAACATTAACACAAAGGACAGCCGCAATCTTAACTGGCTGCTTTTCAACTACAAGCCAGCTTAGAGCTCTTACGTAAAAGTTGTTAAGAAATCGCTTTTTCTGTTGTTGTTCTTAACGAAAGTCACTAGAATGCCTCTAGGAGACTTTTTGTTGGGGAAAACGGGTATTTACATGAAATGTTGTCCTGTGACCTAACAGGATATAAATATAAATTAAAATGTTCCGCACTCCATCACAAAAAGTTCTCTGAACACTCAAGACAGATGTTCAGAATCTGACAGTTTCTGATGAACAAATAAAAAAGTGCAAAGCATAAGTAAACAAGTTTACTAAACCACACTAGGTATGGACTGCTACTTAGTTAAATAAGTTGGACTTTATTCACAACTGATAATGCATGACTTTTTTTTTTTATTAGAAATAACAGATGGCAAGGAAAGACTAGAAAGAAAATGGGATTTAAAGCTTAGTTGAAGTAGTTAGGAAAAAAGATACATTTTTATTGGTCTATACAGCATTTCCTGTAATGTCTGACAATACTGTCAAATATCTGTAGCAAATGCTCTGTCTTTCAAATTAAGGTGAATGCTTCCTGCTCTGAACATTTATAGCACTTCTCTTGCACTGGCTTGTGGACCAATCTAAATTCTTCTCCCATTCAGAAATTATATCAAAAAGTCTGTCTCCTCTAACAAAAATTTTAAAAGCTATCAAGTCAGTCTAAAATATAATTTTTTGCTTAAAATATTATAAGCAAATCAACATCAAATTCTAACATGTCAAAGCAAACAAAAATAAAATATGTATCAAATATTAAGTGTGCACAGCTCATTTCATTTTCTAAACTATGAAAGAATGTATCTTTATGAATTAAAGCATTATTCTTAAGACTTTAAATGAACCAATTAAGACTGCAAATGAAAGAATATACCTCCCAAAAGCTAGAAAATTATTTCTTTGGGGAAATTCCTTTCCCTATGGATGACAGAATAAAACGTCACCAATACTACAAATAGGGTATCACATATTAACTCTTCTCTCATGTTGAGACCAAAGAATCCAAAGGACAAACATAACAACATCCCTTACTCAATCCCCAAAACACGAGACCAACTGTTCTTTTTAAATGTTTTGCCACTCTTGATATTATGAAAATGATAGGAAGAAAAGATTCATCACAGTACCTCTGGGTGGCAAATCCATATCCCCTGATGTGAGCCCTATCAAGTTGGGCCTTTGTGCATGCACTCTGTGTCTATACATTGGTCTGGAAGTGTTTGTTATGCTTGGGGCTTCAGGATTGTAGCCGTCTGTGTCATATGTATCTGGTAATACAAAAACTGTAATTAAAAAACAATTATAAAAGTCCACTTGGTAATTTTTTATACTGATAATAGAAAAACATACTACTAATTCATAACTCACATTTTATATGTATTTTAAAAAGAAGTTTTAGAAAAATAAAATGCTGTTAAAAACTTCGTTTTTTAAAAATCGCAACTGAGGGCTTATATTTAATGTACAGTCACCATGTCTATATTTTATTCCATAAAATTTTAGTGAGAATAGACCTGATAGAGCAATTCACTCTCTACATATTTTTAAATCCCTCACCTAGAACTCTTCTCTAAACTATATATGACATTATTAATATAGAAAGCCTAAAACTGCACCTGCAGTAAAAAGAGAGGGAGGAGCAGGAGGCGGCTGGTGATGAATGCCAGTTGTTACCACAGTAGGAACAGAGCTGGTTGCAGAGTTTGGGGGTGCATCCATGCCAGACGGTTGCAAAGGAGGAAGTGGAGGTGGTGGTCCTGTCAAAACCAAAGAATAAGAAATATCATCTGGAAGCAAACAAATAAAATAAGTTATTGTATATCCAAACATGATATGCTCATTTATCAAATAATAGTATCTATAAAAATCAAGCTCTTACAAATGAAATAGTTTTCAAGGATAAAATATCCATTTAATGTATTCCAAAACAGGTTTGTCTTAAGCTAGAAGGGGCTACAGACAGCTGGGATTCATTAGGGATATACATAATTCAGGGTCACCCTAAACCACAGTAAACCATGGGTTTGGCTGTGCCATGCCATGGTAAGTCACTTCAGTCATGTCTGACTCTTTGTGACCCTATGAACTGTAGTCTGCCAGGCTCCTCTGTCCATGGGACTCTCCAGGCAATAAAACTGGAGTGGGTTACCATGACCTCCAAGGGATCTTCCCAACCCAGGGATCGAACCCGCATCTCTTATGTCTCCTGCATTGGCAGGCGACACCTGGAAGCCCATTGGCCTACAAAATATATTCCAAATGGGAGTATCTTACTCTTAATTTCTAGCTGGCATATATAGGATTACTATAGATACTTCTAACAACGGCAAGCATCAAACTATTAACTTTTATAAAAAGACTATAAATGGGTAGATAGTAAGTACAGGCAAACACATTTACTTACCTGTGACAGGTGGTAGACTGGGTGGTAATGGGCCTGGCGGTGGCACAGGGGGTCTCAGATTCACAGGTGGGGGTGTAAGAATTGGTGGTGGTGGAGGGAGTCCAGGAGGAGGTGGTCCTTCAACAACAGGAGGCTGTGCTGGGAAAGGCAGCATACCAGGAAGATTGACATCTTCTACAACTACTGGGTCACTTCCATGATCAAAAGGGCACATGTCTCCTCTCATACAGAAACCCTTTTCTGTGAGGAAAAATAGTTAAAAAGAAGTATGAAAAGTGCTGGACATTTTCTCTAAGTCAACAAAAGTAAGATATTGAAAAATTGGAATATTTTTAATATTGGGCATGTATAAATAACCATATCATAAGAATTACCTACTAATTTCCAGTAATATAAAACCCTCATTAAGTGATAATATAGCTAACATACACATTAAAAAATGTATCACCAAATTAACATGAGTATTCCTGGCTAGCAAAATGATGTAAAATAGGTATTTCTGTCTTATTTTTACCATTAGAAACATTTCCTTTATTTAAATCTCTCACTTAAAACGTTAAGGATACTGCAACTCCAGTTTTAATACAATTTACAAAATTTTTACAGTAAAATCTTAAAAGAGTCTTCAGTTCATTTATAGAAGTCTTACATAGGTGATACATTTCTAGATTTTACTTACATGCTAATAACCCTGATTTTTAAGTAAGTTTTGTCAAGAACGTATCAGTCGTCAATTTTCTGATAAATAACTCAGTAGATATTCCTCTGTTTGGTAAATTTCAAAAATATGTTAAGACTTAAGTGCAAATAAACATTATTTTTAAATTGATATTAGTCAGTGGTGACTAACAAAGACTTCAGTAACAGACTGAGGAATTCATGAAGTACCTAAAATTAACCTCCCATCATTTCCAAAAGGTTAAGTATTTGAGTAACTGTGTATAGCCTAAAATTACAGAATTTACTCAGCTGAAAATAAAGTGGTTAACAGGCTTACCATCATAGTCTCTACACCGTTTCTTTGGCATTGGTGGTCTTACATATGAATTATGGTCCACCTGGTCCTCATGAAATTCAGACCAACTTTCGGTAGTGTTATTACCATGATGAGTAGGAGCAATTACTGTAATAGTGCTGCTCAAAGTAGGTACAGGGTAGTGGCCAGATGAAATATTAGGTACCGAAGAGACTGGAGTATAATTGTTTTCTAATGGATCTGCTCTATCCAGGTCATATTTAGGTTTTACCAGATCCCTTTCTGCAACAAAATAAAAATGACTTGAAAAACTACACTGGATTAAAAACAACAACAAAGTCTCAAATTTAATAGATATTTTTGTTTAACATAAAAATAAAGTTCAAATTTTACACAATCCTCCTTTTAAAAACTACTCAATATATAAACAATGTTTCAAGATAAGTTATTTCTTTTTGTTATGATCTAAACTAAAAAGCCACACATAAAGTTGCTGTACTTAATGAGATTTTTCTTGGAGTTTTATTTATAGAAAAGAGATTTTTTATTTTCTTCATTGAAATTTTAGTATGCAAAACTTTAGCCAATAAAACAAAATATGCAATAAAAGTAGTTATTTTTTTTGTGATGAACATTCAGTTGTTATCAATTTACAGGTCCTAACATGGCAGTGAACACTGCTGAAGATGAGAATGGATACTTAAAGAGGAAGGAAAAGGAGCTCATAATAAATAAAAACAAATTAACTGGGCCAAGAAAAGAAAATTAACCATGGAAAGAGAAAAGATATTAAGGAGATTAGTTGTGAAGTAATGTGTAGAAAGGCCCAGAACACCTATATGACAGGAAAAAAACTCTTAAGAACAGAGTAACAGAAACACTGGGATTATAAAAAAAAAGTCATGATTTTTTTAGAGACTAAAAGTAACTATACAGTAAAGGTCACAAGGGGAATAAAAATCTAAGCTTGAGTAAAGGTGTTTTACTCTAAGGTGTTAAGCTGTTTTATTGCCTGCAACATATTCCTTTCAGTAATACACATTGAAAGAAATATTATACATGTTGAAAATGACACACTCTTATAAATGCACACATCTGAAATGAAATTTTTAACTGTCTTCATAGTTTTGAGTAGACGTCTAAGTGATAAACTGAAGATACTTAAAAGATACAACTTAATGAATTTTGATCTATGCATATACCTATGAAACCAAACATGACAATCACAGTAAGGCATATACTGTACATACGCATCACCCCCCCAAAGGCATCCTTTCTCCTTAATGATCCAGCCCTCCTTTACTTCATTCCAGGCAACCACTGAATTGTTTCCTGTCATCATAGATCAGTGTGCATTTTCTAAAATTCTCTCTCTCCCTCTCTCATATACACACTCTGTTTTCTGTGTGGCTTCTTTCAATCAGCATGATTGAGATTCATTTATTTTGTTGCATGTATAAATAGTTTTTTTTCCTTTTTATCCATTCTATGGCTATACCACAATTTGTTTATCCATTCACTGGTTGATGGACTGTTTCCAGCTTTTGGCTATAACAAATGAAGCTGCATGCTCATCTGTGTATCTCTCTGTGGAAATACACTTTCATTTCTCTGAAGTAAACACTCAGCAGTGGAATGGGTCATTGGTAGATACAGGATTAACATTTTTAAGGCACTGTTGAAGTATTTTCCAAAGGGTTCCAGCTTATTCCCCATCCTCAACAACTCTGAGTAAAGCTAGTCATTTTCATTTCAATCATTCTGATGGGTATGCAGTAGTACATTGTCGTAATTTTCATAAAGTAAAAGTCTCAAAAGAAATTTTTTAATAGTTACTCATACATATAAAATACAGCAAGATAGAAAAAATAAAGATAATACTGACAAAACAATTTTTAAAACCTTCATATACAAAATTGTTTTCACAGTAAAAGTGCCAGGCAAAATATACCCATATGTGATTATTTACCCCTGCTTCGTGTCCTGCTTCTGCTTCTAGTCCTGCTTCTATCCCTATCTCTGTCACGAAGCCTCTCTTTACTCCAACTTCGACTCCGACTCCTGCTGTAACTGCGACTTCGCCCTCGTCTTCTGTTGTACCGGTCTCTGTATGAATCTCTTCGAGGGGGGTTTCGATCATAATCTCTTTTGCGAGAACGATCATCTTTTTTCCTCTCATCACGACTTCTAAAGAAATATATAAACTTTTTTATTGAAAATATTCAAGTGGATACAGGAAAAACTCTAACCAAATGCAAAAGTTCTGTTTTATTCTTGTAACATTATGATTCTTTATCCCATCTTACGAATACAAACATAGGAGACTCGGAAAACTGAAAAACTTAACATGATCTGCTTAAGCACTCTAAAAGCCCTTCACAGTACCCACCCCCGCCCCCAAAAATCCCCCAACTCTTTCAAAGCCTTACTCATATACACACAGGCATCTATACATAAGTCCTACTGTATATTCTGTCTTGCACAGTCTCATAATTATAGGCAAGTATCACATGCACTGCACTCTCAATGCTTTTGAAGGTTTAATGGGAAAAATAATTTATTCACTCTAAAGGGAAGCTTTGGGTAAAAAAGGTCTCAGTAAGACTTCACTGGAATTGAAGTTAGGAATAAAAATAGTAACAATAACTAACATATGCCAAGCACTGTTCTAAATCTCACTTCTAGTACCTTCAAATCTCTCGTAGTTATTCTTGATAGAAAAGGATCGAGTTACTACTTTCCTAGACTAATAAAAGAGTAGATAATACTTGCCCCTATGTAAAGGAATATCAAGTCTACAAATATTCATATAAAGATAAGCAATGTCTAAAAATTAAACATGGTTCAAATCAATCACCTATTTTCTCTGTATCGGGAGCTTGACTGAGGAGGACTGTGATTTAGCCTTCTAGAAAACTTCTTCTCTCGCTCTTCCTCCTTTGTGATCTGATATACAAAGAAAAACGTGTATAAGCTTAATAACAGTTATTCCTTGCCATGTTACTGCTTCAATAACTTAGCTGGTATTAAAATATATGTGAAAGATAGAAGGCCAAAGGAGAAGTGGATGAGATGGTTGGATAGCATCTCTGACTCAGTGGACATGAATTTGAGCAAACCCTAGGAGATAGTAAAGGACAGAGAAGCCTGCTGTGCTGCAGTCCATGGGGTCACAAAGAGTAAGACATGACTTAGCGACTGAACAACAACAACAAAATACAAGAGCAATATAGTCTTCTTCTGAAAGCACTCAAACAAAATAAATTTCTCTTCTAAGTACATTTAACAATAAAAGACAGGCTTGCTCAAAGTTAAAGTGAATGGTAAAGAAATTCATAAATGTTTATCTTAGTTAACAGTAGTGACAAAAACATTTTAAGCAAGTGTCCTCACTTTACAGGCTTCCCAAGTGGCACTAGTTGGTAAAGAATCCACCTGCCAATCCAAGAGACAAAAGAGATGCAGGTTTGATCCCTGAGCCGGGAAGACCTCCTGGAGAAGGGCATGGCAACCCACTCCAGTATTCTCGCCTGGAGAATCCCATGGACAGAGGAGCCTGGCAGACTAAGGTCTACAGGGTCACAAAGTGTCAGACACGACTGAAGCGACTAAGCATGCACACACGTCCTAATTTTAACATAATTACTGGAAAGCCAATTTTATTCCTTCTCATGAATTTGGTCTGGCACCAACACATCAGGGGTTTTAAAGGAGAATGCAATAGAATTAACCAAGTCACAGAAAAAGAAAATGCTTGAGAAAATAATACATGTGAAAATAAACAAGTGAAAATAGTTCTCTAGTTTCTCATAGCAGTATGACAGCTGTATAGTCCTCTTCCTACAATCCATATTATACAATTAATAGAAAGCAGTCCTTAAACACATTCCCATGATCAGTGCTGCTTTCCCTAAACCAGTTTTCCATGCTGCCCAAAAAACGGGTTCCACAGGACAGTAAGAGGTGTTAGAGAAAAAAGCATTTATTTAGAGGATAAGCAAACTGAGAAAATATTAAACATGAGCATCTATAAATATGATAAGGCTCAAGATTTTTAATAAAAACCCTAAGATATTCTGATGCAGATAAGTCTACAAGACAGCATAAAAACAAATAAATAAATGAAACAGCATAAACATGTCCAGGTTTATGCCAGTTGTTTCAGCAACCCTTTGGGTAAAAGCCTCTCACTGTCAAGTGCCCCTGAATGAGAAAGTAAATGGAAATCCTATCAACAGACCAAACTCTGAGAAACAATGCTTAAAAGTCTTCTTTTAAAAATTTGCTTTTTTTTCCTTTCTTTTAAGTACTTTGTTTTACTCTTCCTATCCATTTCCACCCTCCACTTGGAAAACAAAACAAACCAAAACCTCCTGTTGCACTTTTTCCCTTCTATTTGCTTCCATGCACACTTGTAAGTAATCTATGTTGACAGATTGTCATATTCCATGGTACATGCCCAACTGGGAACTTTTAAAACACCCACAGCATTTAAAACACAGACTGCCATCTGATATTTCAGTTCTGAAAGATGAGGGATAAATATCCTTCACAACTGGTCAAAACAACTGTGGTGAAATATTATTGTAACAACAGATGTAAGACTAAAGTTTCAACATTAATTCATCAATGGGTAAAATTTAAATGAATTATTATATATCTCTAAGTTGCATAAACAGTTGCCAAGACAATACCCAATATCCCATTCTTCCTCACTAACGTTCTAGAACTCCTGTACTATTAGGTAGAAAGCATGAAGTTATAATAATTTCGGGTCTTCCCCAGCAGATAAAGTAATGAGGGTGTACTATGTATGTGTGTGAGAAACTTACATGTACATGTGTGTAAATGCTTTCAGACATAGAAATAAAGATACATTTGAGAGTTATTACATAATACATAGCAAATATATTACTACATAATAAACATATATTACTTATATCATCTGGAAAAAAAACAGAGTATCAGGTGAAAGAACCAAAGGTCACAATTAAACCACATCACCCACCACTTAACAATCCCTCAACAATAATTGCAACTATCATTTACTGAGAATATGAGCCACATACTCTGCCAAGTGTTCACAGACCTTATTTTACTATTCCTCACAATAACCCTATAATATTTCCATTTCACAGCTGAGTAAGGGTTGGAAAAGTAGTAATTTCAAGGTCACAAAACAGTGGCCGGGAAAGGCAAAAATTTAACCAAGATTTGTTTGACCTAAAACTAGACTAATCATGGACATATTATATTATAGCCTGTCAACAATTATTTTTAAAATTACAATCTTTAACATCAAACTAAGGAAATCTGAATTAGTATATGATTACTAGACAAGAGTGGTAAACTTGTACAAAAGGTAAAAACTTCAAAAACTCTTAAAGCATAAGTCATTTCTATTGCCTTGTGAAGGCCCTTTTATTTGACTACCTTAAAAATAGTCCCTTGCAAAATGCATGTAAGGCAGAAACAAGCAGATCTACTGACAATCTGGTTATATTCCTAGAACACAGATAACAGGAGCCCATACCTGTAAGATACTATGCACAAAAGAGTTCAAAGCACACCTGCGACTGTTATCTTTGAAAGGGCTGCTGGAGACTTCCCTAATGGTGCAGTGGATAAGAATTCGCCTGCTAGTGCAGGGAATATGCGTTTGATTCCTGGTCCAGGAAGATTCCACATGCTGCAAAGCAGCTAGGGCCATGTGCCACAACTACTGAGCTTGAGCTCTAGAGCCCACGAGTGACAATGACTGAGCCTGTGTGCCACAACTACTGAAGGCCACATGCTCAGGGCCAGTGCTCTGCAACAAGAGAAGCCACCAGAATGAGAAGCTTGGCACCACAACCAACAGTAGCCTGTGCTTGTCGCAACTAAAGAAAGCCCATGTAAAGCGACAGAACACCCAGTGCAGCCAAAGAAATAAACAGACAGGGCTGCTAACAAGGGAAGCCCTTGGTTGACATCTGCAAACTATGACTTCTGGAAGGTTCCCATCATTCCGTAATAATAATAGTTCACCATGCCTGAACTGCAGATGGTGACTGCAGCCATGAAATTAAAAGATGCTTGCTCCTTGGAAGAAAAGTTATGACCAACCTAGACAGCATATTAAAAAGCAGAGACATTACTTTGCCAACAAAGGTCCGTCTAGTCAAAGCTATGGTCTTTCCAGTTGTCATGTATGGATATGAGAGTTGGACTATAAAGAAAACTGAGCACCAAAGAACTGATGCTTTTGAACTGTGGTGTTGGAGAAGACTCTTGAGAGTCCCTTGGACTACAAGGAGATCCAACCAGTCCATCCTAAAGGAAATCAGTCCTGAATACTCATTGGAAGGACTGATATTGAAGCTGAAACTCCAATACTTTGGCCACCTGATGAAAGAACTGACTCATTTGAAAAGACCCTGATGCTGGGAAAGATTGAAGGCAAGAGGAGAAGGGGACGACAGAGGATGAGATGGTTGGATGGTATCACTGACTCAATGGGCATGAGTTTGAGTAAGCTCCGAGCTGGTGATGGACAGGGAAGCCCAGTGTGCTGCAGTCCATAGGGTCGCAAAGAGTCGCATACAACTGAGCGACTGAACTGAACTGAAGCCTGAACTGTCTGGATAAACAATGTGGTTTGTACTAAACACCTGCTTTTCTCCTCAGAGTTTGGAAGTTTGGTAAATCCTAGGCTGAAGGTGCCGTGTAACCAGTCCTTAATAAAAACCCTGGGCACTGTGTCTCTAAGGGGCTTCCCTGGCTCACACGTGTTGTCACGACGCATTAAGTGCATCCTCTGTGACTCCACTGGAAGAAACCTCTGCAGATTTGTTCCTACCCCAGACTTTGCATGCTACACTTTTTTCCCTTTGCAGATTTTGCTTTGTATTCTTTCACTGTAAGACATCATAGCCATGACAATGATTATATCCTGAGTCCTGTTAATCAAGCCTGGAGGTGGCCCTGAGGACTACAACACAGATACAAAAAATAACACTCAATTTAACTACTCCAAATATGTTTTAAAGAACACGAAAGTTCAACACAAATTCTTACCTCTTCTTTTTTTATATCTTTTTCTTGGTGCTGAAAAAATTCTACCTTTAAGCTTCCTGATGATGGCTGCTCTGGAGGAGGTAGATAACTCTTTGTATTCACAGCATCAAAAAGTTTTTCCACAAATATCTGTGTCTCTAACAATAAAACAAAAACCAGCACAGATTAAAACACATTTCCTAGTTATTCTCCACTTCTTCACATCAGACTTCAGTATGATGAAATATATCTTGATTTTTACAAATCTAAAAACTACACTAAGACAGACAGCTTTCCAACCAGTGTGCTATGGTACAAGTCCCATGGTGATACGGATTCAGTCAATTCTCAGGATACTGAGGGCTAGAATGAATGGCCAGAGCCTGTGGGTCAGTCCCTACCAGCCATCACTGGTCTCCATGTAGCCTGCCTAGTGTGCCAAACAGAAATATTATCACTACCTAGTTGCTGGCAAAATGAAAAAAGCTGAGAAGCACTGTGCTAGACAACAACAGTAGTAGGTTCCTAAACAGTACTATTTTTCAGTCATTTTCTTAATCTTTTAAAGAAAAATATCAGCATTCTTTAAGAATGAGCACAGGATGTTAACAGAAAAAAAAAAGATTTCCATTATAAATAAGCCATGAATATAACCAGTAATTATACTATCTGTTCAACTTTATTACAGTTACAGCCTGTCTCTTACCAAACTCCTTTAATACTCTCTGAATCTTGTTTTAAGTTATCAAAGCAATATTTTGAAACCAAAGATATTACCTTTTTGAAGAAATACATCCAGTTGATCAATACATAATGCCTTTAACTCTTTTTCACTTTTGTCTTTCTTTACCAAAGCGAGAACATACTTTGCCAGGGCTGATGGATCTGCATCACAGCTGAAGAAAAGAGCAATGATGAAGGAAATTTAGCCACAAACAACTGCACACTCTATAAATTCCAATTACAAACTAAGTCAGCATGATAGTTAAACAAGTCAATATATGTAAGCATCATCTAATTCACAGAAAGCAATGATGACCTAGAAGTTTTTCTCCCTCATATTAATATACTTTACACAGTACATATAGTCATCATTCAGTATCCTACCAAACATATACTAAATCATGTACTAAAGATTCGGAAAGTTCTATTATTTTAAAAAAGAGAAGTTACAACAAATTATGGACAATACCAAAACATCAAAAACTAATAAGCAATGTGGTACCAATAAAAATACCAAGAGGCTATTCTCCCCCAAACAAGGTAAATAATTGTCAGACAGTATCTGAAAAAGAGGACAATAAAGGGAAACTTGAAAACATACCACACAATATATGAAACAAAAGAAAGTTTAGAAACAGACCCAAGTACATATAGAAATACAGATTTTACAAAGACGATATCCAAATCAAGGAAGAAGAAATGAACTACAAAATAAATGCCACTGAGAAAACTTGTCAGTTATCTTTCTAAAAAATTAAGTTGGACCCATAATTTATCCCATATACCACAGTAAAAAACATGAGACCATTACAAGTATTAGAAGAAAACAAGAAAAAGCTATCTTACAACTCTGGAGTAATGAACACTTTCTGAACTGCATTGCAAAAGAGTACTTTGATTATATTAATACAAATAAAAACAAAACTTAGGAGTATAAAGAAGCCTTAAAAAGTCAAAAGTAATACTGAACAGAAAAAAAAACAATTCTTAAATGAGTAAAAATACAACTTCATTCATCCATAAGAGAAATTCAAACTTAAAACTATACTGAAATATCATTTTTCTGTTACAAAGTTGAGGAAATCTAAATATATGAAAATATATCCTAGAGGCAAGACTAAGGGGAAAACAACCAGTTTTCATACATTACGGCTGCTGAGAGGAACTCAGCAGATACTAGGGTATGGCGTATCAAGGTCACAAATGCAACTGACTCAGCAATTCTATTTCAGTGAATAAACTTTACAGATATACTTACATGTTCAAAATGACTTGTGTACAAGGTATTCAGTATCACACTGATTATAAAATAAAAAATCTGCAACTGTCCATTTACAGAGGACTGGAAAAAGAAAATATACTAAATCTACACAAGGGAATGGCATACAACAAAAGGACAAAAAAGAATGGGGGAGTTTTCATGTCACAGAAAAACTTCCCTATCAGTTTGTTATGTTTAAAAGGTGAGACAGAAAACATCTGTCTAGTACATTACCATCTGTGGGGAGAAAAAGAGATTTTATATTTGGATTGGCTTATGACTGAATAACGGAATATGTGTAAGTATAAACTATGCTTGCCTGTTGATGGGGATGGAGAGTAGCAAGTCAGTTAAAATCAAACAGGGTCAGGAGGGAAACTTTCTGATGCCCAAATCATGCCCATCGAATTTTTAAAAAGCAGATAACGGTTTTTCAACTAAGCTAAAGCTGTTACCTATTTAATTAACGATCATTTTCCAAGTTAGGGTAAATAAAATCATAGCAACAGCTAAGCACTAACATTTACCAAACCCTTATTTGAGCCATGAACTGTGTTCCATACTTTACACTCTGTATTTAGCTCTCATTTTACTGATGAAACCGAGGCTCAGAAAAAAACTAGGCAAACTACTTCAGACTACATGTTAGTAACAGAACCAAGATTTAAACCTGCTCTAAAGTCCACTCTCTCAACACTACAGCCCCCAACCGAATTGTTTCTTATAGTGATCTACCCCAAAACCAGACCTCCAATTGACTTGCTGCTACAAACATCTAGTTAACAGCCACCAATTTACTTCTTAGCCATCCTAGCAAAAGACCCTACAATGCATCTCTATACACTTAGCTGCTGTCCAAGGCATAGTTCCTCTAATTCATTTCCTCCTGTGCTCGTCCCCTCAAAGTCCATTATTTCCATAAACCTCTGAATTCCTCAGCCCCATTTGCCTCACTTTGTACTATTTTTCTATGCCACCAACTTGGCAAAAACCCAACTCAGAACCCACTCCACCCCCAGGTTAGATTTAATTTCCTAGCTTGGGTTAATTTCACACCAGCAACATAAACAATGTTCAGTAAATTGGATTTTCAAAGGACAGATGACACAAAAAGATTCACCAATCATGGCTTTAAAAAAAGGACAAATACATTAGGGAATTCCAGTAGGGAGAGACAGTGACTACAAACAAGGGGGAGAGGTAGGATAACTTAGTTCATTTGAGGAAAAATATGATTCATTAGAAAAGACCCTGATGCTGGGAAAGATTGAAGGCGGGAGGATAAGGGGACGACAGAGGATGAGATGGTTGGATGGCATCACTGACTCAAATGACATGAGTTTGAGTAAGCTCCGGGAGATGGTGAAGGACAAGGAAGGGAAGCCTGGCGTGCTACAATCCATGGGGTCACAAAAAGTCGGATCCAACTAAGCGAATGAACAACACAATACATGACATCCTTCATTTTTATTGCTCTTTATTGTAAAATTGTTAGCAATCTTAACTCTAACAATAATAAACATAAAATATAATTCCACAAGTTCTACTAAAAGTTCAAATACTAAGAGTATTAATAAGGAACCTATATACATTAAAGCTAGAAAACTATACTATCATACATATACCAAAAAGTCTTAATTCCTATACATACCTGGAATGTAACAATTCTACAGAAGTATAGCAGTAACACATCACTGAATCAAAAAGTACATCTTAAAGACAGTGGGCAACTCTGGTTGCACAGTAGTAACACTTATGGAAAATCTGACTGCAAGTGAATCAACAGGTCTAATACATAACCATCTGCATTTTGCTTCATTTATTTTATAAAAGCTGCACTGGTAAGTCCGATACAGTATCAGAATCAAGAACTGCTCTATTAAGGAACCAGTACATTTATCATATGCTGTGAAGATTCCCTACAGTACATGGCTCTGGTGACTGTCTTCAAAGTCTTCAGTCCTCCCTTCAAAAGGCAGAGCCAAACTCCCCACCCTTTCAGAGTAGACTCAATTTAGTGCCTTGCTTCTAAACAATCAGAGTATGGCAGAAGTGACAGTGTCTGACTTCTGAGGTCAGATACCATCGAGGTTATAAAAGACACAATGGCATACTCTTTGCTCTTTTTCTGGAATCATTTATTCTAGAGAAATCAGCTGCTATGCTTCAAGGATACTCAAGCAGCCTTATGGAGAGTACCATGTGGCTACGAAATGAGGGCCCTCCCAGGGTGGACTAAGGTCTCTCGCCAGTAGCCACATATTAATGAACATGGAAGCCAATTCTACAGACCCAGTGAACCTTGAAAACAGTGCAGCACTGACCAACAACTTGACCACAATCTCTTGAGAGACTACACAGCTAACCTGCTCCAAATTTCTGACCCACAGGAATGATACATGTCATGAGATGATTAATGTCTGCTGTGCTACTAAGCTAAGTTTCAGGGTATGTGCTAGTAATCACAAATACACTTTTCTCATAGATCTATTTCCATTTATTTACAAAGACTTGAAGTGGATTACAACCTAAATAGAAAGAAAAAAAATTCGTATCAATGGTACATGAGATTTTTAAGCACTTTCTCTTTGAAATTTATTTTAATATACTTTTTTAACCAACCATTTTAAAAATGCAGACAAAATGACTTGTGGTAAGTTAATTTTTTCATGTTTACCATAATGAGCATCAAAGTACTTAAATCTATGATGAAATAAGCATGAAGAAATGGGACAATAACCTCAAGCTGTACCTACAGACACACTTATACTGGCAATCTGGTAACTGCACGAGAGATGATGAAACAATACTTATTCATGTTAGGTAACCTGAATAAACACCGTCAACTAAACCTTAATCTAACGAGGCATCAAGCTAAATACACTTTAGTTTACCAGAAATCACTGTGGTAAAATACATATATATATATATAAAATACTATCACTATCTTATACTGTTTTATTGCAACTGTTGTTAATGAACAAATTCAGTCTGTCTACACTGAGTCCAAATGCTATAACTTGACTGAGTATTGGATTGATAGCTGTGATGAATTTTTAGTTTAATAATGACCTTTCTAATAACTGTCACTTCACACTTCTCTTAGCCAAACATCAAATCTATTCCTTTCCCTCCATTATTTTTTAAACAGGACACTTTAATAGGGAATTAAAATGTTAGCAACTAAAACTGTGGAGAAAGATTTTTTTTAAATTATGGTCTAGACTGCAGTTTTATAAAACAACAAGATAGAATTGCTGAATCTTTGCTCAAAATATCTTATTAGAAGCAATTCAAATCAAGAACTAAGAAGTCACAACAATCATAATGAATCAACAACCATACAAAAAAAATGCAAAATACTTAAAACGGTCTGAAAGGCAGATTACTTTTTAAAATGTTAGACTGCAAATTACATAGAAGAAGTAAGGTTTACAATTTCACATTTAACAGCAAAGCAGGAAATATGTATTTGGGAGGTAATTTTCCTTAAGTCCTATAGGAAGCCATTTCATTTTTATTTCAACACTATTGAAAACAATTAGAAGGTATGTACTTACAAATTACAGCTAAGTAAAAAATAATCTGAACCCAGAAGTTTAATATACAGAATGTCGTAGGTCAGGGATAAAAGGCAAACAATGTGCTCTTTTTACTATTTGTCTTAATTAAAAGTACCACTGCTACTTCATCTGAGCATAGAGCAATAATAACCTACTATGCAAAATTAATGAAGTAAAAATATTTAAATTATGAATCAAAAGAAAACTATATTCTGATAGTAAGGGGTCAGTTATTTTCAAAAACTGTCTCCATGGTAAGCAGAGACTGTTCACGAAGCACTTTACCAGATGCTGCTACTGACAGAAGGCTTGTGATCTGAATGACACTTCACGTCCTCAGAGCCAGTCT